GATCGAATGGATAAGTTGCGCCTGATGATGTTTCTGGGATTTTTTTGGAGGTTTTCCGGCACCGGCGGGTAAATGTCGGGTTCGCGATAGTCCGTCGCCGATGATCTCCGGATGACCTTGTCATGGGCACTCGACCAGTGACGACTCGACAGCAACGTCTAGAGTCAACTGGAATAAATTTGAAGTTGGTATCGCAATTGGAATTGCTGTATTTGAGTGCGTGATATTTATATTTGTACCAAGTCTGCGGCAAAACGCCACAGTCCATGTTCCTGTCTAATGATGTAGTCTCAAATTATTTGACATGATATTCATCCTTCCTAGCTCTTTCATGTATGATTCAGTGGTGGGTGTGAGATGTAATAACAATCTCCTCGAGACATGCAAAGCTCTCCTGGCACTTCTTTACTCCAGGCTTGCAATATCGTCCAGCGAAGGGCGAGGAGTGCAGTAATTTTCTCGAAGTTCGATACCAGGTCCGATGGGGTGCGCTCTTCTTCGTGAAAGAGGAAAGACCTGATATTATCAGTATTAGGATAGGTTTGGGATGTAAATTAGGGCATCATACCTTGGTGCCGCCCCAACCTAGCCTGAAGGCTGCCTCATGAGCAAATAGCTCTCCGAAACCAAGCATCATACCATTGATAAATGGCAGCAACAGGTTGATAGCAGTCCCACGTATCAAAGACCACACAGTAGGGGGCTTGTAGAGGATGACTGGGGAGTTTGATGAGGGAGGTGACGATAGATCATCGCCTGCAGAGTATAGTTCGATATCGGAGTGCATTGTGACGCCGGACTCGGCGAGATGATTGTGTTCATCGGCCATGGCGGAGTTAAGAAGTGATGATTGTTCGAAGTAGGGGTAGCTGCGGTGTCGAGACTGGGGGCGTACTCGTCTTTGGAAGAGGTTGTTGACGATCTCGGCCTGAACTGTTCCCCAGATCCTTACGTAAGTCTACAGAACCGGGGGTGAGGAAGGTGGTGGGTGGATCACTTGTGTCACAGCAAGGAAGGTGGGGTGCTGGAGCCCACCGCCACCAACCTAGAGCTTGTGCCTTGTGTAGCTGGAGGTGACGAGCAAGCTGCCTGCCTGCTTTTGCTTTCATCAAAAACATCACCCTCTGAGATTTACTTTCATTGTTGCTTTCAGCCAATTCATTTAATCTCGTCGGACCATCTTCAACCTCCATATCGCATCGGAAACAACTACACATACTCAATCCAATTACCCCGCCTTATAACATCAACATGGCAGACCATGAAGGTCAGATCGTCGAATTCGCAGGCCTGAGCGGCGCAAGCCCTGAAGAAGTTTGTTTAAACAAAGTGTATGACAAGTCATCACGACTAATGCCTCCCAGGCCAGACAATATCTCGAGGCCCATAACTGGGATCTCGCCGAAGCCAGCAACGCCTGGTTCCGCGACGCCGAAGAGGATAGCCGCGACACATCAACAGCTCCCGCTCCCGTTCCAGACAACTACACTGGTCCTCGAACCCTCGATGGTCGACCTGCCCCGGAGGCTGCCCGTGGTAGCAGCCAAGCGACCCGCAAGAGCGCCCCGTCGCAACAGAGAAAGACAGGAATTGCTACTCTAGGATCTATCGGTAGCTCATCCCACCAGCATGACCACGGAGACGATGACGATGACGATTCCGACCCCGAAGATGATGATGGACGAGGAAATCTGTTTGCGGGTGGTGAGAAGTCTGGACTGGCTGTTCAAGACCCCCACCAGCAAGAAGCTGGCCCAAAGAAGATCATCAGCGACATTCTTGCCAAGGCACGAGCGTAAGTGAGAAAGGCTTCGTGGATGACATAAGCTAACAGATCAGTAACGCTGCTCGCCCCGAGGCCGAAAATGAAGCCGGCCCCTCCGAACCCAGTCGTTTCCGAGGAACAGGACAGACTCTAGGTGGTGACGGTGTTGAGAGTCGCAGCATTCCCGATCCTCTCGGTCCAGTCCGCGCCTCCACTGCCGAATCTCAAGAGCGAGTTCTTCACATCTGGCAGGATGGTTTCAGCATTGATGATGGAGATCTTCGACGATTCGATGACCCCGCTAACCAGACCGACCTGGCGTTGATCCGATCCGGTCGCGCACCTCTTCACCTTATGAACGTGCAGCATGATCAACCTATCGACGTCAAGCTTCACCAGCACGACACCCCATACCAGCCTCAGCCCAAGCAGTACAGACCTTTCGGCGGTTCTGGCCAGCGACTTGGAGCTGTTGTGCCTGGTGTTTCAGAGAGCTCTAGCTCTACTACCGCCGCACCAGCCGCGGCTCCTTCGTCCTCCAGCGCCCCGTCCTCCAGCGCCCCGTCCGTTGATGATTCCCAACCGACCGTCATGATTCGAATTCAGATGCCTGACGGTACACGCCTACCTGCTCGATTCAACATGACTCACACTGTTGGCGATGTTTATGGTTTTGTCCAGGGCGCTTCATCCGAGACACGATCTAGATCATGGGTGCTCTCCACGACATTCCCCAACAAGGATCACACTGATCACAGTCTCGTCCTAGGGGAGATGCCCGAGTTCAAGAAGGGAGGCACCGCTGTTGTCAAGTGGACTTAGTTATACGGGTGGTTGGCGTTTGGGTTGTGATTTAGGGTATGCCCGACTGGTCCATCCGAGACAGCTTTGACTGATAGAGGTGATAAATAGAACCACAAGCAAGTGAAAATAAGTATGTGCAATGAATTGATCCGTATCTAAGCCCATCACTTCCAAGTGGTATCTCAACACCTAACGCCAAATCACAAACCATTCGTGATAGTCACGCTTAGGCAGCAGCTGGAGTTGTTGCGTTGGCAGGTTGGATCGCGGGTCCATCCAAGAACCTGAAATGCTCAATCGCAATCTGACAATTCAGCATAGCAGCATTAAAACGAGCCTCTCCCGGTGGAAGCACAACCATAAGATAGGTGTTTGTTGTGAACTTGAGGATAAATAGGCTGAACCTGTTTCCAGCCTTGTGCTCCATGCGAATAAATTGCTCAGCGTTGCGCGGCGTGCCTGTGAATCGCGAAATACTCTGCTTGAAGTGCTTCATAATATTGGACATGCGCTCCAATCGATCTTCGGTAGGGTTGCGCTGGCCTTCAGATGATGTCCACGATGACACGGCGAGGAAGGACGTGCGCTCGAATAGCAAGAGTTCCTCCGCTTCGATGGCGAGGCCCAAGTTGGCGAGGTTTCGCTCAATGACGGACAAATTTGGTACCAGATCGTGAATAATCGACGCCCAAGCTTTATACAAACTCTGATCCCAAATCGATGTGGCAAACGGTGTGAGCTCAATCGAACTCGCAGCGATGCCTACCGAGTTTCCATACTCGAACGTCTTTTGCCGCACGACGCGGATGCGCTCGTCGTACACGGACTCGCGGGCGGTGGGCACCACGAGATCCATCTTGTGGATCAGGATATAGATCTTGGCGGAGGGCGAGTACTGCAGCAGCGCGGATAGGATGGAGACGTAGGTTGCCAGGTCGCGGTCGACGTCGCGGGATTCAATGTCGAAGACGTAGATCAGCACACCAACGTTGGAGAAGACGTGGACGCGCTGCTGCGAGAGGTAGTTTTCCATAAAAGCCTCTTGGCCACCGCAGTCCCAGAGGTTGAGAGTTAGGTTGCCGAGGAATTTGACGTGGGAAAGATCGATATCGATGGTCGCGCCTCTGCGCACAGCACGTTTTAGTCCGGGTTACAGAGGGAATACGGGGGTTGGAGAGGGAAGCCTTACAGTCTTCGTGTGTCGCGTGCAATGTAATTGCTAAAGATGATACTTCTCATACTACTCTTTCCGGAGCCTGATTTTCCCATGAGAAGCACCTTTTTCTTCTTGGGCTTCTTAACCTCCCCCAGAAGTTCGGGTGCGGGCTGTGCCTCTGCGAGGGATGTGTCGATGTAGGAGGCCATGATGTATTGTTGGGAGGGTTGATGACGGGTGATAATGAAAGATGAGCGAGTGTTGACGTTAAGTTGGAGGGGAGCTTAGGAATTGAAGGGTAGCTTTTGGCGCTTGGGCATTTGCGGTTTAGTGGCCCGCCCCCAGGAAATCCAAGGATGAAACGTCTTGGCTGGGTATCTTATCTTGAGTCACTGACAATTGTTATAAACGCAAAAGTCAGCTCTATTAATTGACTGAATAGCTTCAGATGAAATAATTAATGTTGATTGAAACTTGACATGTTGTGAGTTTTCTCTCACTCTAAAGTAACCCCTTATACTCGCATATACTATTGTTGCACGAGAACAGCCGAAGTAGTATCTATGCATGCCCTTTCAGCTGTGATTTTGTTCTCATTCCAATGCTGTTATTATTCTGAGGAAAGTATAAAGCCTTTTTTATTGATTGCCTGTAAAAAATATGTCTTTTTATCAGTCGTTTACCCGGTCGTCCCGCTTGGATAAACTGATCTACTTTGGAGATTGTACGTTTCCGTACCCACCCTATTGTTGTCTCTTTAAATTGATTTAGAATCATACCTAGACTGGGTGAATTGTTCCCTTTATAATGTTATAAGTAGTTGTCTGTAGTCCTCTTTATATAAATTATTAGATTTGATTTCCTTGAGCCAGGTTGTATCAGGTAATTGAACATGCAAAAATAAAATAGGGCTTTTACTACGAGTTTCCCTTTCAACATCCGCGCCATGAATAAAATTAGAATCAACCTTAGGGTAACAAAGCTGCTCAAAGCTCACGCAATGTTTGGGCTGAGGCATTCATCCAATCCCGGGGTGAAAGACAGCCCAGAATGGAAACAAGACCTTGCGCTAGGGCTCTCACAGAATAGCTCCATTCTTAATTCATGTAGAGTTCAGTCGTCATCAACAAACAAATTGCAATTATAATCAAGCTAAATATTTCCAAGGGTATCCAAACAATAAGCCAAAGCTTCAACGCTCATCCAGATAACCTACCTATCGTAAACACCTAAGCTCCTATAAATCTCCAACTCAAGCAAAACTCGAAAGCATCATCAACAAGGCGAATGCCTCCCCGTCGATGGCCCTTGCGAACTCTCATCGTTCTTCGTGCTGACTGACCCTATAAGAATAGACCAGACAGGATCAGTGTGCCTCTTGTGGTCAACAATATCACTGAAAGCGTCAGCTTGATACTCCATCAAGTAGCGTATTTAGATAAGCTTACTCTCTGTTTCCTGGGCTGCCCCCAAAGAGGGCATAGTCGTCAAGATATGTCAGACGATCCAGCCCATCCTGATCATCACCAAAGCTGACAAACTGAAATGTAAAACCAGTGTTGCTGATATTTTTCTCTCTCATCTTACCGATGACATTCGTGATGCATCCCTCCACATCTCGAGCTTCAATGGGACCACCCTCCCACGACCCATTTGTAAAGATCAAAACACTAGTAGGCTTTTTAGGATCTACGATACTAGTATCGTTGAATATTTGGTCGAGGGCGTATCTCATATTGCATTCGATATCGGCGACGTCCGCATTCGCCCAGTGCCGTAGCAGGGAGACCAGCTTGTCCATGGAGTACAAACGACCCGCCATTGCAGCGATTGCTTGCGGAAATCGTTTGCTGGGTTTCGAGGTGAAGCGGATTTCCGGGCATGTAAGGTCGATGTCCTTGACTAGCCATATCAGAGTCTCAACCGTCCTGAGTACTTCACTTTTTAATCCTCGCATCGAATTAGAGTCGTCAATGACAAAGATGAAATGTCTCCGGCCCATGCGGCGACAGAATTGATCATAGCCAGGTATGCGATGCTTCTTAACCTTGATATCGCGGTGGTAGATCACATCTTTGACAGTTGCAGTCTCGTATAGACTCGAAGGAGCTTGTTGATCTCTTTTAGGATACAGTTGGTGAGGATTCCATACGTTGTTTATAGGATCTGTGTAAATAGAGTGGTGATAGCCAGGGGATCTTATCTGCGAAGGAATGTCTATTATGGTTTGTGAGGCACCGAATCCATTTGTCGATAGTTTTGGGGACTTGTCGAAACCAGGCATCTGTTGGATTTCGCCGCGATTTTGTGTATCAAGGGAAACCTGTTGGATTGGCGCTCCATTCCCAAATGGTAGCTGGGTATGAAGGCCAAGAGGGCTTGGATCTGTTTGAGCGTGACTGGAGTCGGTGATTGTCTGCCTTTCTGTACCCGGGTTGGAAGCCGTACGTAGATGTGGAGGTTGACCGAATTGAAAACTCCCTCTTGGGGGCCTGCCTGTAGATACTGGGCTAGTGACTTCGGGGCTGAGGGTCTGAGAACGTGAACGCGTGGGTGCGCTGTTTGCTCTACCAAGAGAGGGAAACAGGTCTTCATATTTACTGTTGAATTCGTACCATAAAGACCTAGGGTTAGGTCTATCCTTACTAGGTACAAGCATTTTCTGCTTGACGAGAGTACAGACAGTTCCTGAAAGATTCGTGGGTCCATTCAGGGCTTCAACAGCAGCTTGTTGAGACTCTAAGACACAGTGAAGTGCCGTCTGAGTATTGTGAAAACAGTCTCCTAAGCTAGCATCAATCTGAAGCGAATGATAGGTCTGGATTTCAGTTCTGCGATCGCTGGCAGCTTTATCGACGGCGGCCATCCTACCAGCGACCCAGACGAGAGCTTCACCGAAGACACAACCAAGAGACCATATATCTGACGATAAAGGAACCGGTCTGATAGTCTGTTTCTCATAAGTGTAGACCCTTGAAGCTTCAGGGGCACCTGAGACAGAATGGTCAGTAGAAGTCACAATGAGCGAACATTAGGGCTTACAATATGTTTTATCTCCATTGTTGTCGTGGAAACTGACCGAAGCCTCATCAATGGGCAGTTCAGATGTTGCAGTGTCGAAATCAGCAAGCTTCATCGTGAAACCGGCGGAATATAGGCCCTGTCTCCCGGAGAACACAAGAATATTGGAAGGCTTGATATCCCTATGGGCACTGTGAACGTTAGTATGCGGACCTAAAGGTCTGGATGCGCCACATACAATCCTGTGCGTTGATTTCTAGGCCCCCCTCCCAAGTTCTGAATCTTATCGACGGCTTTGATGAGACCCATAATACCGTACAAGAAGTATCTGCGTTCTTCAGGCGTCGCTGGGGGCTCATCTCGTCTGTATAATTCGAGTAGGCTACCTTCAGTCGCGTACTCTAGTACCATGAAACAGCGCTGATTCTGCTCAAAAGAACCGAGGTACTGGACTATGTGGTCACAGAAGTCTATTTTGACAAATGCGTTGTACTCTCTGGTCCAGGAGTCCCGCAAAGCATCCCTTTCACCGGTGAGGTACTCTTTGAAGACGACAGTCGGCTTAAGATGGGTCAGTGAAGTCGTAGAGATAATGTGAAGGCAACTTACTGATGAACTCCAATCTTTATCATAACACTCGGAATGTAATGTGACAACTCGAATGACAGACTTGGAGTGGTTCGCTTTGGTTGTAGTTATCTTTTCGTCTTTGATAGGTAGAATTTGGCGACAGGGAATAGTTCTCTTGTCCATTGGCATAGTGTTCGAGAAAACAACGGGACAGAACATCCATTGGTTCTCGCAAAATTCCTCCATGTCCTTGACCATTGCACGGTCACTTCCAAACCTCTCAGTGTCGAGCAGAGGTAGCTGTTGGTCCTGAAAGCCATGGGAGATGAACTCCTTTATCAAGGACGTCTTTGAACTGTAAACGAGAATAGAAAAGATGGTTAGGTAGGCTTTTTCAATCGTGGCCGCTCTCGCATTGATATTGTGGTTGATAGCGCGGGCTATTCGGTATTCGCCTCCTTTTTTCCACCATTTTGCTGTCTTTGTAGGGCTAATGAACTCGACTTTTTCGCCGTCGCCATTAATGCCGGGCTGGAGCTCGCGACGGACGAATTGGATAAACTCTTCATGACGTTCATCCTGGGGATGAAGAGAAGCCATTTTGGCTGTGAGGTTGTGAAAGAGCGTCTACTTTATACAATAGTAGGCGCTTAAAGTCTAGACACTGTTGGATGAAGTAAATTGTTTGAGATAAAAAATCAAGTTGGTCTTGATGCAATTGAGCCAAAGATGGATAGAATCGAGGAGAGAAGGAGAAAGTGATAATCCAAGATATATCTGCAGGCAGGCGCGCACAAGCTGGGGAACCTCAAGGGGTGGTTCGCATAAGGCAAAAAGGCAGGTGCGATGTGCGATGTGCGATGTGCCTTGTACGGGCCTTTCTTCCCTCGGAGGATCCAGGACTTCAGCTTTCCAGATTGGTTACAAAGGGTGTGCCACAGGACTGTGTTGAACATAAGGCTCCAAGGCTCTCCAAGATGCCCCCAAATGGATTATAGGGAGAGAAGCTCGTTTTACCAAGCCAAGGTTGCACACCATTAGCGAGTGATTTATGGCTGTGTTGAAATGCCTCGACGCAAAGCCACCACCTCCAAAGAAATAAGGTGATGTTGCCCTGAGGCTGACCCCCAAGAACTAGAACCACTGTAAGTCATGGGGTTCATCGTTCATCATGATCGAGTAAAGTATTACAAATCACGCACATCTCAAAGCCTTGAACGCCCAACCAACGTGGGGCAGAAAGAAGATGGTGGCTTGAAATACAATGCGACGAGGGGAAACGAGGCTCCCATTATACTTATTGACATAACTAGACAGCTTCTGCCTAACACAAGGATAACATGTTATCCACCGAGTGCTCGAAATATGTCAAAATCGTATGATCTATAAACTATAAACAGAAATAGGTATTCTAAAAAAAAAGGTATGAATGAGAAAACTGAAAGGAAAAGAGAAGAAAAGGGAAAAGAAAAAGAAGAGAAAAGAAACACCGAGCAGCGTGAGCTGCAACCCAATATCTAATCTCTAAGTGACCTGCGCAGCATGAATAGAACAAACATCCACAGCATAATAGTTACAGCCGTGATAGTCGCAGAAATACCAAAGAAAAGGCCGAATATCTTGGTGTTGAGTTTCCACGACCCGGCTAGATCCCATGGCTCATCAGAATTGAGTGGAGGCCACTCGAGTATACCACTTTGAAAGAAGGACTAAATACCCATTAGATGGTGAAAGAAGAGATGGATGGGATGAGACTTACAGCCATGAATGTACCCGGAAGAAAAATAAGAGTTACAAATGTTATAATGTGCATCGAGCTTGTCTCCCGCTTGGTCTTGAAGGCAATGTCCTCCATCTTAAGAGCGGACAATTTAGCGCTTTCAGCGTAGAGTTTGTTAATTTGTAGTGTTTTGTATTGAAGAATGCAGTTATACTGTAAAAAGTCAGCCTCGAACTTGATTTATATCAGAAAAACTCACCATCTCCTTGCTTTCTTTGACAAGCAAGAATAGTGCTTCGAGCTGGACTTGCCTGGCCTCAAGATTCGCTTCAACGCCCTTGGCCCGCTGGAACAACTCGACGCTCGAAAGCTTGCACTCCGTTTGGATACTCTCAAGCATAGGTATTTTGTACTCGTTCATAACAAATTCGTAGTGTTCTCGAATTTGCCTCACGACCTGCTTGTTAAGCTTGAGCACAAGAAGAGCCTCCTGTATTTTCTCCAGTCCTTGTTGAAGCGCCTCAACCTCGTCAAAAGAGAAGCCCTGAAGCTTCTTTACCCAGTCTTCACCCTCGAGCTTTTTCAAACGGTCTTCGAACTTCTTTGCTCGGTCTTCATGATAAACTCGATGTTTGCTATCGTGCAACAGTACGGTTGTACAGCCGGGCGATTTCTCGGAGGGTGTGGTGCTGCTTAGACCGGTGGCGTGTCTCACGTCAGAGCTCAGCCTGGCTTCGTCGTGTATACCAGGTGTCCTAGCCTTGTCGACTTGTGGCTTGACGTTCTCGAGGAGTTCGTTAATGTAAAAGATCCAGTTGCTGTCGCACCAGTCAAGAATCATACTCAAAGTTTCCAGTGAGAAGGAAAAACACTGAGGGATAGAGTCCAACTCGTTCCTGGTGTCATTCAAGGCTTCTTTAAAGAGCTCTTCGTTAAAAGAGTTTCCCTTACACATTACCCACAACGCCTGGCCGCTCAAAACATCAAATGAGTGGTACACCGCAAGCTGCCGGATACCCCAGGATTTGGGCTTTGTTGTAATGGATTCCGAGCTTTCGACTGACCGCAAAACAAATGAATATCTTATCTCTCGACCAGAGCGGTTTAGTCCCGGAAGAGGCAAGAGATGTCTTTCTTTGGATAGAAGAGTGTTGTCATCGTTGAATTGAGGTAGATTGCACCATTCATGAGCCGAGAGTGAACGTCTGAAAGAGTATAGACATGAGAGGAACGACGGTGGGATCTGTTGATATGTGCAAAGATACTTGAACGTATGAATTGAGCATCTCAGTTGCTCTTTAGAATGTTTTGATTTGATAGAACTGTTAACGTTAGGATTACCCCTATATGATAGGAGATGCACTTACACGTATCTTATCTTTGGTGTCTTATTGCTAGATTGTAGACGAGACCTGAGTTCTTGCAGAGTTTTGACCTCTGCATCAAGGGACTGACAGTTGCATGGTGTAGTGCAATCGCAGGTCTCGTATATCTTCAAAGGAGGATCGCTCAGTCTCGGATGAAACACATGCGACGCCTCTCGATACCAAGTCTCAGCAATTTCTTGGCGTGCCTTTTTACCGCGCGCACTACATGCAAAATTATTAGGGTAGTTGTGTGATGCATCACATATCCCATCGAAGTAGCGCTCCGATTCGGAGAGCTCCGGTGTACTGGGACGCGAAAATGATGACGATGACGGTGATGACGACATGAGGGAATGAGAGAGACTTGGAAAGATAGGAGTAGAAGATTTACGACCGAATCTGAAGAGGTCAGACGATGATTTTAACTTCTTGTCGAGGGAATAACAATCACAAAGCGCGGTGCATAGCCTGATCATCTGCCTTGGAGTTTACCGCAATGAAACAGTAGTTCGTCAGTATTGAAACAATGAGATTCAATTTTGCGGGAATCAATGGTGGCCATGGGATTGACAATGTCTTTGCAGACCGCGAGTGTAACGAGGCGGAGCGAAGAGGCAATGCGAGACCTTATGCAACGGCCGAGAGGCCCCTTTCACACATGACTGATTAAGCTGGAATGCGCAGAATGAAACTCGAATAAAATGTAAATAAATGTGAATAAATGCATTTGTGACCCATCCTAACTGATTCATCAAGTCTGTAGATCAAGAATCTCGTTTTGTTCCGCCTGTGGCAACCATCAGTAACAAAAAAAGCCCCGAATCAAGGTAGAGAAACAAGAAAGTCTTACAGAAGTCAACGCTCGAGGCAAATAAAACACAAACTCCTCTCCCGATTTCTAGTTTTTGCATCAGTTCAATCTTATGGAATATCAGAAGCACGGCTACATACCTCAACGACAATCGTCTGATCGTTGAATCTGTTTCGAAGCCATCTCTATACATCATCCAGCCGTAGTCTATACGCAAGGATGGCGTTGTGTCTCATGACTGCAGAACTCTGATTATATCGGCGATACGTAGTGACGGTCTTTCTGATGCGACTGCTCGTTAGGCGTATTCTCGATTCGAGGCAGTCTGCCTTGAGGATTCTAGTAGAGATCACACTGGGCTGAACACCAGATTTTGAGCCCCTACTGAAGACTGCGGCTCAAAAGAGCGCGGGGTTGACTCTCAGTGCCCATGTTCTTGATTGGTACATGACCAGCGAAGTAGGCTGGGACGATCAGGCTCCTAGTCTTGGAGGTTGACCAGGCTCGGGTTATCACCGTTGTGACGCCATGTTACCTAGGAGGTCGCGCTGTAAAGGCGTGATTCTGTTGGCCAGTTGCACACCGGATGGTTCATTTATTGGTCGTGCAGGTGAACACAGGGCCAGCCTGCATCTGAGTGTAACCCCAAACTAAGAGATAGCTCGTTGATTCGCAGGACTGAGAAGTGCCTAACCATGAAAAGTAACATAAGCTGTGCATGCATATAATGTGGTGGTGCATATTTAAGTGTTATCCAAACGGTGTGTGAGCTGTCGCACTGACAGGGTAATTTTTGGGCCTTTGATGAGAAAAGGCTACTTGCAGGAATGTAAACTAAGGTCGGGCGAAGGCCAATTGATAATATTTCTGTTTGTAAATAAATCAGAGATAATTGTCTTATATCTAAGACAAACGATTGTGATAAGAACAATCACAGTAAATGTGGTCATAGCAGATCCGGCATTTCTGCCTTGGCTCAGCATCGGGCCTCAGTATAGTAAAGTGGCGACGGGCTGATAGTTTGCTTTTGCTAAGCAGGACAACACCTCTCCCTTCAGTGGATTCATTGATGGATTCATATGCTGTCTTTGGAGGGTACATATTAACATCTCCCAGCATATTAGTATCTCAAGTTCCTTTTGGTCGTACCTGTAGAGCGAAAGGCTTGGCAACAAAAGCGGCGATGGTATGGCAATATGGGCATCGTGAAGCTAGCAAAGTTAGCGATTTAAAGGCTTCAGACTTTAGGATCTGTTCTAGTTTTTGATCACTGGAGGAAGTGATGGGAACACTGAAGGGAAGTACAGTGAGAGAAAATGACAGCAACTCAAAGGACGGCATAGCAGAGGAGTTCACAGCTTGAAGGAGGCAGGCAGTGTAAAATGTTGCCTGGAGCAGGTGATATACATCAGTTACTTTCCATTGAAGCTATCGTAGCATGTATCTAATCAGGCTGATGATTTCGCGCTGTTATTGGACATCCTCACAGTCGAGGGCTATTCAGCTTTAAGACACAGTAAATCAACATTCCTACTCAGTCTATCAGAAAAATTGACCGCTGGAAGTATAAGAGACGAATCTTGTAGGTTATTTTATGTTCCTTAGACTACTTATTCTTGTATCCTAAGACTTAGGAGACCAACTTGTCTGCAACCCACTAGCTACTGTCAGACAATTTCACATGTTCTATTCTAACAGTATCGTAGGGCTTAACGAACAAGGCTCGGACCGTCCGCGTTTATGGTTGTATCCGAAGATATCAGATACGGTCACCACAACGGCGATTTTGGCCAGCCGTCAGCACATTTAGCCTCAAGTTACATCCAATCTTGGACCCCTGAGCTTACTTACTCGAGTAAGTGCTCAAGACTTGTCAGTGAAAAGGGAGTTTCTCGTTTGGTCGAGGACTGGACATGACTCTGTTATCCGTTCTTATAGTCTGATCATATTTTACACTATACGATATTCTCATTTGGGTCTCGGACATGATGAAGCCCAGGCGAAACACTATGAGCTCTGGCTATCATTGTGCTAAAAGGCTCTTTGGCTGTTCTTGTAGTGAGGTATCTCGAGACATCCTTCCTATCGAATTGAGGTTACGATACAACATATATCTCACTAGACACGGAATGCCCGAGACAGATGAGATCATACCTGGACGTTGATCATAGGTTGCCAAAGACTAATTGACAACCCTCAATTGTCATGGGGACGAATGGATAATGGGTATTCATCAGCCGTACGTGAGAAGAATGGACGATCTCTCACCGCGCAGCAAGCCTTACCTGCAAAAGTCCCATCTGGGTATTGGGCTGTCACTGGCCACCCTTAGATAATACACGATCGTCATTCGCAGTCTCGAAAGGGTCATAACTTTCATAATGAGGACCACCAGAGCAGAGACCATCCCGTAGTAAGTCTCTGTGCTGTCATATATTCACCGTTTCCCCATATTTGCCTTGTTAATGTGTATGGCCCCAAGATCTCCAAATTCACACGGGACATCTAATTATGTGTGCCTGTAGACACCAATTTGCTTTTCTATCATGGCTGTTGATAGCAGGATGGGTCCAGCTAAGTTGTAGCCACGCGCTATACGCTTACACCACTGAACGGACAATTCAAGTCGGTGCCCAAGATCCTGTCACAGGAAAGATTCATTATAGCAACTGCAACAGCAAAGATACACCTATCTTCCCACTTGACAAAGCTAACATCCTGGACGCAAAAGAGACACCGCGAAATGGTACTGCACTGGCAGCACAGGGCTGGTGGGACTTTGGCCAGGAAACCATCATTGCACGTTTTATCATCTCATAATCAAACAGTAGCTAACAAAGTATACTTAGGCATCTATCTTCTGGCAGACTAAAGATGGTGCCATCGTCAACGGATACTATACTTGCAATATGAAGACAGGGAAACTCGTTCGCAATGGAGAGTATCGCATTTCAGAAACTGCAGAGGTCGGCTCTATCCACAACAAATCAGGTCTTGCGGTCGACCTTCTAGGAGCCGACAACGGGTATCGTGTCTTCTATCACAACGAACACAGCAATGTCATGATGTTGCATTATACGCAGTTTACTGACTGGACAGATGGTGGATTCGTGTCACAGGACAACGCAACAGGAATGGCGCTTGGATCTGCTCACATTGACAAGGAGAATATCACGGTCGCTTTTCCTAAAGGCTCCGAAGATATCGAGATATCTCGCTTGGAGAAGGCTGGGCAGTGGAGATTAGGTTTGTAATTCCACAATCTCATCTTAAATAATGTTGCTAACATGCATCAGACTCCTTTCCGACAAAGCTGGGAGGCACATTCACAAATGACTCTACAAGTATCACCGCGGTCAGCCCCCAAGCAAGCCCAATCTTTTCTTTGCCAGCTTGGAACTCTTCTTTAGAAGCCATAGGCTCAGCGATAGACCGATCCCGAAAAAGAAGCATCTTCTACATTGGCACCGACAAGAACCTCCACGAAGTAGAAGCAAAGAAAGACACGTGGGAGGTAGCGTCGAACCAAACCAGCAAAGCTTGGCCTGTCGCTGATGACCCTAATTCTGGTCTGGCGGTAGCATATAACCAGCCCGACGGTAAAGTGTGGGTATACTACTGGTCCAACGAGACAGTTGTACAGACATACAGGAACTACGACGGAGACTGGGAAGATGCAAAGGCTTTGCCCCAGGAAGAATCACGTGAGACTGACAAGAGCAAACCGGTGGAGGATGAGACCTCTAGTTCTTCGGGCTTAACCACAGGAGCAAAAGCTGGAATAGGTGTTGGAGTTGGTGTCGGTGCTCTTCTTTTCGGTGTTCTAGCTTGGCTCTGGATGAAGCGTCGCAACAAGAAGAAGGCCTCTGGCTCTGAAATGGGAGCAAGCCCCACAGATTCACACTTCACAGAGGTCAAGAAGGACGATAAGGCTGTGGACCCGTCAGAGATGGATGGCCATGGGCGGCCTGCTGAGTTGTACAACCATCCTACGGTGTATGAGCTGCAGGGCCAGCATGTGAGAGAGTAATGTGAAGGTCACGCATTGAGGGAAAGTGCAACTGTGCGAGGGGTAAGATTGTCTTGGCTGATGAATGAATGTATGGCAGAGAAATACTAGCAGCAATTAGGTATTCATAAAGATGAGTAGCTAAGTCCTTGTGCTTGTATCTTTGTGTTTAGTAAATTAGGATCGGGATCTATAAAGTAAGAGACATTCACATCTAGTCCGACGGTACACGGACGCACAATGCAAAAGTGCACGAATACCGACGGGCATAAAGAATCTATTCGCATTGCCATCAACTCCGCGCTTCACCTTATCCGTGTCCGTGTATCTATCATGTATCTATATAACTAACACAATCACCGCTCACCCAAAAAGTCAAATGGGCCCGTGAAGAGCAAATTTTCCATTCCCGAGTCAACCTCGAGATCTTCTAGTAGATTTGCCATCCAAGGTTCTTCTGGTTCGCCCGTAATCTGCAAACTCGGTACCATACTTGCATCCTGGAATGAGGATGTGGTAAATTCCATGTCGACTCCGGAAAAGGGGTTTGCAGGTGATGGCTCACTTGATGCAAATATACTCCCTACCTCAGGCGACTCAACAGGTCCGCACCGTTCAAGATACCACATCTCTATCCTCCTCGCGCGTCTCGCAAGATCCCAGTATGGGCTTGGCTCGACATCACCTGTGCCAGGCCCTGAAGCAGCCTCCATCCTCAAAACAATCTGACGCAGCGTATGCGACATATCGAGAATTCGACGGAGATGACCTGCAACTTGTGCATTCTCTGGCTGTGCGGCAACAAGATCAAGACGTACAGCGAGTGAAACTGCGCAGTACAGCATGATCCAGCCTATGTTGGGCATACTGTCTTCATCGCCTTGGGGTAGGAGGAGTACCACACTGATGAGGGACTTGGCGGCCGACATGCTTTGCGACAACCAGTCGAGAAAACGGTTTTGGTCTGCACCCTGTTGGAGGTTTTGGAAACCGTTTGGACCATAAGAGATGCCATCCGGTGAGGGCTGACAAATGATGAGATCGAGTACGTGGAGTTGTAGAAGAATGGTGGCTGCGTTGTTAGTTAAACTCTTATGAGAGGTGGGGAAACTACTCACGACTTTCGCTTAGAGGGAATGGGAGGGATGACTTTGTGGACGTATACCGTTCTCGGATCCTTTGAAGCTCTGCGGGGAGATGTCCTTGTCTTGATCCACGGACGGTACCTGAAGCTTCAATGACAGCATCGTCAACTTCTTCAGTGAGCTTTTGGAGATAAACGATATACGGCAGATGCCTGTCAGTCGGAAATGAGCCTGCCGCTAGGAGCTTGTGACAGCACTCAAGGATGTAAGGTGAGTATCTAAAATGATGCGACTTTTGCAACAATACTGCAGAACTGTAGCTGATTAGATAACAGCTGTCAAAGACCATGTTTGGCATACCTTGAAGAAAGATAATAAGTCCCTGCTAAAGCTCTCTGCTCATCATGCGTCATCTCACCACTCGCATGTTTATTCTCTCTACTCAATGCCCATAGACTTGCTATTCGAGGCCTATCGAGTCTCATGTCTGAGATTATACTCGCGGCAAGCGATAAATGTTGTGTATACTTCATGGTCCCATGATGATAATGCGCCCTGGTCCATTAGCGACAGACAAACAAACCATCGACTTGACATACCACGCCAGATGAACTAATAGTCCCTGCAACATGTCGAGAGTTGCAAAAGGTCCCTTCATCATACGCACAAGAACAATCTCATGGAACAGCCTGCCCAGTTCTCGTTGAAGCCCGCGATGTTCGTGGCACGATGCTGCGAGTACGGCTACGCATAATGCAGGTTTATCCTGGGCCAGGCTCTGAATGGTAACCGATTCTTGGATCATGACAAAGGGAAAGTGAGGCGACATTCGACTTCGGAACATATCAAGACAATCTTGGCCTTGTTCGAGTGTCATCAATCCTCTGGAGAAAGGATTGTGTGATGCTTCCGTGTCAATACTCCCAGGTGTATTGGACACGCCTGGCGAAGCATCGGCTGCACTTGACGTCGCGGGTGCATAAGTGAGAGAAGGTGATCTCGACCTCGTCGGGCTCACAGCTTCAAGATTCCTCGATGGTCTATCTTATATTAGTTGGGTACAAATTTTGAGACTGTATTCACATATTGTCTCACCCAGGTCTCAAAGCCTTGCGCCGCCTAGAAGGATTAAAGACGCAAGTCTTGTTAAGTCTCAAACATCGATCGCATTTCCCCGACTCTTGAGACTTTTCGCATCGAATTTTCGCATGGAAACATGTTTGGCATGTTTTTAATAGCGTGACATTATCGGCTCGTGAAGCCATGTTTGTTGTTGGTGTTTGTGGAAGAGATTAATTTGATGGGCGGGGAAATGAAACTCATTTATCAGGTCCATCCACGACTCCTGGCTTTGTTTCTACTTTATTCTATTTTGTTTCCATTTTCGGGCTTTGTTATATTACATTGCAGATGATGCGACGTCAAAATTATTATTTCATTTACCGTTTCCGTAGGCTGAGCCAAGATGTGGTGAGTTGGATGCTGTGTATGGAGCGGACTTGAGAGTTGAACATGTGGCTGTGAAAGCGTCGGTCTCGGCTTCGGTTTCAGGGCATTTGCAGTGATTCTGCGGCGAAGTTGCAAGGCTTTCTGTGCCGTTAGAGATGACAAAATAGATTGGTCATATGTCACCACTTATACGGCGGCTTATGCTTGTCTCTTTATTGTATCATGCAATCTTACAGGGTCTCAATCGGACAAAACGTATTGTGGCTCAGATTCTTCAGGTACGTCAAGTCCGTGTCCGTTCCCACACGCGGCAGTTCAGGGAACATGTCACTACTTTGTTCGGACTCGTTAGTTTCTCGCGCTTAATACGAGGGAATTGATGATAATCCAGGAACAAGACCCCACGTAGACAGCCTTGTAGGGCAGAGCCTTTTAGTATCGAGTCTAAAGCATCTTTCCGAATTATGACCTGACGTGGCATTGTCATTCTTCACCATAAAATAAACAGCTTCCATGATATGGCTTAAAATAAGTTCGTTGGCCAAGGGCTACATTGTGTACACCCGGAGTAACAAGAAACCCAAACTCCATCTATGCCTGTCTATACCCGTCCGTATATGTCATTAACTAATTTTTGCCCTTCTTCTTCTTTCCTGACGTCTTTTCCTTAGCCGCCGCCTTTTCCTTGCCCTTTTTGATAGCCTCTACTAGCTCTTCAATCTCGGCCTCCTTCTCCTTTTCAGTCTTTTCCTTTGCACTCTTCTCATCGGCTGCCTTTTTAGCAGCTCTCTTTTTAGCCTGTATCTTCTCGACTTTTTCAATCAGGTTGTCGCTCTCCTCCCAAAGCTTCTTGGCGACTTCATCATCCTTAATCTCCTTTCGTGCAAAGTCAACTTCCAGACACTCCTTGATAAACTTACCACCGGAACCTCGAGCGAATTCAGGATCCATGGCGGCATAGAGAATGGACTGAGCGGCCATGTTGGGAGACTTAAGAAGGAACCAGGGGAAAATATAGCCAGCGGTGTAGATTGCGAGTCCCCAGAGAGATCCACGCGTGAGCCAGCGGCGGGTACTTGGGGTTCGGGCCAGACCGGGATCGACAAAGATTACTCGTGTGTTCATTGGCGCCTTGTCAGGACGTTCGTATGAGTCGAGGTGCTTCTGGAAAGCGTGGCCAAAGACGTTCATAGCGAGTTTGCTTCGAGCGTATGCCGTGCCTGGTGTCCAGGTCTCTCTCGACACGGGATCCTTGAGAGATGGAGAGCCGATGTATGAAGAGCAGGTCGGGATGATGACTCGGACGTCTCGGTCGATAGGCTGCGCACGAAGAGCAGGACTCAAGATACCCAACAGATGAAAGTTGGCCAAGAAATTGACCATCCATGTCTCCTCGATGCCCTCCTCAGATTCCTTTCTCTTCCCGCCAGGGGGTGTAAGGACTGCTGCACCCAGATAGATCATGTCCAATCGTCGAGGCGGCGCATTATCGATCCATTTGGTCGCAAACGTTCGGATGCTGTAGAAACTTGACAGATCGACTTGCTCGGCGTAAATAAGGTGATTATTCGTCTTCTCTCGGAGGTCCTGGATGTACTCGACAAGAAAAGGATCATTCGGGGGCGATTGTGTGAGCAGAACCAGCTGCGCACCCTGTGATGCAAGACCTAAAGCCGCAGCGGCGCCTATCCCGGACGTTCCGCCCGTCATCATCACGACTTTGCCATGGAGCAGGCGCTGGGTAGGGTTGTAGCGACCGGATGTCCAGATCTTAAGGAGAGTAAGGAATGCAAGGACGAGAATGGTATAGATTATTGTGCGAGTATATTGCCGGACGGCATCGGGTATGCCATTTTCGAGCACGCCTAGAAAAAGAACGAGAGGCATGGCGATGAATTGATGGCTGTATTTTTCTTTTCAGCGCATGCCATTAATTGAAAAGCGCTGTGATGGATCGACTTTTGATGTCGTGGCTCCATGACATAGGAGAGCAATGTTGCACGTGACGTCCTACTCTTTAACATGGACATCACTCAATGAGATATATTTTACAGAAAATACCAAAATAAAATATTAATTGAATACTATTCATTCCGTCCTCATTACAAAGTGATTGATTAATCGTGTAATCTGTCATCCTTCTTCTTTTTCACCCAAATCTCTCCAACTGGGTCACCGTGATCAGCTACGCATTCCCAATCACCGATACCATGTTTCGCAGAAGCCTTTCTAACGCCCCGACCACCACCTCCGATGATAAGATTTCCGGGACGATATTTCTCGTCCATATTCATGCGTCGTATGACACTTCCGTGTACACGAACAGCGTCGGGAACATCCCGAACTTCACCACCAGGGAGGGGCCAACGAATTGGCTTCCATGATCCGTCGGACTGAAGATCCATTCTACGGAAGGGCATGTACTCCATGATCTTCCAAGCCGTGACAGCTATGGCACCCAAGCCTTGTCCATACTCTAGTGAGTCGTGGATTCGAGCGGTGCAGGCTCCATGCATGACACCATGAAACTTTTCTTTAGGATCGTCCTCCTTTTCATCCATGGGCATGTCTGGTGCATGACCTGGGCTTCCGCTGCCGCTCGAAACTCGGAGATCAGGAATGGGTGGTCTTCCTGTGGCGGCCTCCCAGTCGTGATTGACGCAGCATCCCATCTCAGCAACCTTCTGGTTGTCAAATGGAAGTCCAGCTTTTTGTGCTTCTCTCACAATCCACGCCAGAGGGATGTGACTCGTGCTCTTGCTACCTTCGTGGATCTCCCAACCTCCACCGACATCAGCGTGCCCTCCCGAGAACCAGACCTCATCGATATCTTGAGCATCATCATCGTCGATGTTGTTGATTTCGGAAAGTGCCAGTCCAGAAAGGTTGGAGAATGTCTCTGGATCTCCACATTGGCTTGGTCTTCGACATGACCTAGAACGAGCTCGATACGGGGCGAATTCTCCTCCCTTCTTTTTCCCGCTTCGCTTGTCGTTTGGTGAAAGATAATTTCCGGTTCTTCCTCTCTCTTCGTGCCCGTGAAATTCTTCACGAATGTCGTTCATGGCCTTGTGAAGGTGGTGATGCTCGTTTTCGTTCTTCGATGGTCGACCTTGGTACATAAGATCCTGGCGAAACTTGGCTCGCCGCTCGTCAATACTGACAGCGTGACGAATAACTCTAGCACTACTTCGTGCAGTGTAGGGAAACTTGCTACGCTGCATCCAGGCCGTTTCAAAACTAGGTACCGAGTTGACGGTGTCGAATAGACCGAGGAAACGAATGCGGCCAACAGGACGAGAGAACGTCTCTCGGAACCCCTTCATGAACCGAAACATTTCTTCTCTCTTCTGCTTTATTCTTTCGGTTCTCTTGTCGGGCTCCTTCTTGCAACCTTCTTCGTCGTCCTCGGGTACTTGCTCACGACCTTGCCATTGAGCAAACGCCTTCCAAGCAAACTTGACCATTTCTTCGTTGCCGTGGGACAAGAGCCCGATGTAATCAAGCATCTCAGCCAAAAAGCGAGCGATGTATGCCCCTCGACTGAAGCCGAACATATAAATCTCATCGCCGGGGTTATAAAACCGCATCAAGAATCGGTAGCCTCCTACGACATGCTGATCAAACGAGGAGCCGATCGCTGAATCCTTGGCTTTTTGGTACCAAGAACTGAAGCGAGCCTTGATACCAGTATGGGTGAGCGATCCAGAAATCACATATGTGCCAATACCAGCTTCGTTTTGTTAGCCAGGAATAGCAGCATAGCAGCGGACTTACGTTGGTAGTAGTGATACTGGTCGTCCGCTTCACGATCCAGCATTCGAAAGATCTTGAGGATGTTACTGTCGCTATCATCGCCGTGAAACTTGTTGCCAGTTCCGTCGAAACACAAAATGAGCTTCCGAGGCTTTCGCCCTGGCTCAATATTGGCAACTACAGGCCCCATTGGAGTTTGTGGTCTGCTTTGGAAATCATGACTCGACGCAGGGTGGTCTCTTATAGACTCAGTTGCCGAGTTCGGGGCAAGGTGTGTGTAATTCATGGTTCCACGACCCCAGGCTTACTAGTGACACTTTATGGGAGGATGTGGCATCACATAGGAAAAGGCCAAAGGTCGTGGTGGTCGGGGATCAGCCATCTTTATATGGACATGATAGCATGGCTACATGCTTATCAGCCTTTGAGTTGTCTCAGATTTAATCGAGCTACCACCGCAAATATGGCTCAGTTCAAATATGATCGATAAACTGCACGTCGTTCAAGACTATTTCATTCCTGCCTTTTCTCCGCAGAAAGCCGTCCTGCTAGGACAGGATACCATGGTAACTCGAGTTGGACAAGAGTGTCTTGGATGACTGCACCGGGGAACAGATTCTCTGTTTTTACAGGCAGACTATTTGATATCTTGCGTCGATCTTTGTCATGGCGATTCTCTACAGAGCGCCCGCTTGACTCTGACTGGTTCACAATCTCAGCCCCAAGACATTGAGGAGCTCAACTACAAGCTACCATCGAACCAAGACGGACTTTTACCCGTGCCAGAACTCCACTGAATTAATCCTTGCATGCGGAGGGTCAGATTCACCAACTAGAATTCGCTGATCGTCATCAACTACCGGTAAAGGTGGAATTGGACTTTCCACTATCGCGCTTTTGCAGACGAGGCTTATTACCTGCGTCCAGCTGAAAATCCCTTTCGGGCTATTGGCCAGTCGATCTATCAATTTGTGGCTGCCCGAGAGCTTCGCTTTGCTGATCGGCATCCCTCTCTTCACAGACCTGCCCTTGGAAAGCCTGAGCGTATGCCAATCGGAAGGTAAGCCTATGTCGGACGCTACTATGGTATCATCCACTTCAAGGGCCGTCCCTAGAGACGGGTAATGAAAAGGCTCTCTCTCTTCTGCGTACCAACAAACTGACTCGTTCTTTCAATCTGAACGTTCAGGACATGTTGCGCCATCTACGTTGGTGGCATTTACGAATGCACAGCTTTCCGGTTAGGAAATGTTATGTCTCACTGCATCAACACATTATCGATCATTATTCTCCGCATGATTCATTGTGGTCGCTTCTCAACATAACTAACAATACCCCTTCACACCTATAGCTTGCTGTTCTTCCAGACAGCGCTCCTCTTCTCGACAAAACTCAAGACACCCTCCTTCATGTTGTCACCGCCTTCCATTGTCTTATATACCCCATACTCAATCCTGTTCGTGCTGTCCTTGGGACCTTCTGCTTCCCACCCACCCAGCAACCCCTCGCGCGACACGATAACCGAATCGGGGGAATTGTTAGACATTTCCACCGCCCATCGCAGCGCCTCTGCGACAACATCCTCCAGCTTGACAACCTTGTTCACAACACCCCAGCTTAGGAACTGTTCTGCGGTGTACATGCGTCCCAAAAGTGCAATCTCGGATGCTCGTTGACGTCCCACGGTGCGAATCAGTCGTGGCAGCGCGCCAGCAATGGCCACAACGCCGCGCTTGACTTCGGGCAGACCAAACTTGGCCGTATCGCTGGCAATGACCATGTCGAGGTTAAGTATCATTTCCATTCCACCGCCTAGGCAGAGACCGTTGACTGCCGCGATGACGGGCTTCTTGCCTCGTCGGTTACTCAGACCTCCGAAACCGTTGTCTGCCCACTTGTCCACGTTGTTTGTGCTGCTTTCGCTATTCTTGACGTTCCACTCTTTCAGATCTGCTCCTGCACAGAATGCTCGCCCAGTACCTGTGATGACAGCGCATCGTAGTGAGGGCTCGTTGTCGTACCATTTCCAGAGACGATCGAGGTCGAAGCTCATCTGTCGCTGCATCGCGTTGAGATGCTCCGGCCTATTGAGCCTGACGAGAAGAATATGAGGTTCGGGGTATGAGAGGATCACATTGGGGACCTCTGGAGGTGTAAGGTTCTGCGTCATGATTGTAATGATTTGAATTGATATTATTGGAAACTGTTGTAATGGTTCAAATGATTTACAGACTTGAAGCTCTTTATGAGGTCAAGCTCCAAGTGAATGGTAAGCTCAGTGTGGGGAACCTCGGCACCTCGGTCCTCTCCAACAAAGGTAACACCCCAGACGATCGATCACCCCTCACGATACACAATACGGACAAGACATGGGTTTCAAACAAGGATTAAAAGGTTGAATCGTTTTATTCCCACAGCTCGCAAACGCCTCTCACCTCCCTCTCCGTTCTTTCAGTGGTATTAAGAAACTCGAATTAATAATGATATATTTTGTTGGTTCAACCCTGACTTTCCAAGCTTCTTCATGCAGGGAGACCTCGCTTCTCGCTTTCTGTGAAGAAGATAACCATACGCCAGAGCTTCTTGACGAGATCCTCTGCCTCGTCATCGAGTGCCTGTGACAATTAGTGATCCATTATATAGGAAATCAAAGGGGAAAAGAATACGTACTCCTTCTAGTTCTTCCGCTAGAGCGGCTGCTGTGCCGTGAGCGCGGAGATGTTCCTCCACTGCTTCGACGAGCATCTCCTCTTGAACACCGAGATACTCGACAATCTTCTTCTCGACAAACGGACGTAGCTTGTCCTTGATGACAGAACTGTCCATATAATCCCATTTGACCTCCCAACCCCAAAGACCATCCTTGTCTGATGGAATTTCCTGGGCAAGGGATCGTACTGCCTGTGAGATCTCCTCCTCCGTCATATGTGCTGTAGCAGATGAGGGCTCGAACTGGATAGGAATCAGCTGTCGTTTAGTAGAAGAATCAGCCTCTTCATCGTCCAAGAGACCCTCCACCTCTGCAATGGTGCGCCGTTGAGGAGCTGCTCTGGATGCCTGGGCCTTCTGGGCCGCAGCTCCGAGAGACAGCTTAAATGGCTGCGGTGCTGCTGCGGCGGCGGGAGCATGTCGCTCCTCCTCCAATTCTTCAGCTTGCTTGTCGAGGAACGAGTCGGCCATACCGCGTGCACGTTCCATTTCGACCTTTTCGCGGCGCTGTTCATCATGCTCTGCTCTTCGGTCGGCTTCGTCTTGTGCCTCTTCATCTGCTCTGTCGGCTGCCCTCTTGCGAGCCCAGACACTGTGATCGCGGTAGTATGGGTGGCTCTTTCGAGTTGCTTCTTTCTCATCGTCCCAGCCTTTTTCTCTCTCTAGCTGCTCCTCCTTCCTTCTTTCAAATGACTCCGCATCTTGACGCTCTCGCTCGCGCTCTCGATCTATTGCTGCCTGTCTTGATCGTTCTCGGTTAGACCACTTTCTCTCGGCCTCGAGATACGCTTTTTCATCCTCTTCATCCTTCTTGGACTTGTAACGTCGGTAAAGCTCCTCATCGCTTGCGTCTGTATCGTCGTCCTCTTGGTGGATGGAAAGGTCTGTGTTGGAAATGCCTCCGTTTACAAAGGTAACTCGGTTCTGTCCATTTTGTCCTTTAGGACCTGACGGAGCATTCGCTATACTACCTCGTGGACCAAGAGGAATGTTGTTGGTACTGGCTGGCGGTGAATCAAGTCGAGACGTCCGTGATGGTCCATTTCGTCGTCGCTCCATCTCTTCCATCTCTTCTTCCTTTCGTAGACGCTCCAAATCTCGTTGGTTGCTCCTTTCCCTGAACGAGGCGATCTCTTGGGCAACCACCTCTCGCATCTCAGCAGGGATATCGGCCAGTTCGTCCTCTTGAGCCAAAGGGATATTAACCACTTCGACGTTCTCGCCAGACTCGGTGTTGCCCATTGTGACATCTTCGCTAGCAATTTTGGTCTTTGGATAGAATAGATCACGAACGGCGTTCTTTAGTGCTGCCCTCGCGGCTTCGAGCTTCTCAGTTCTAATAGAATCGTCCTGGGCCTCTTCGTATGATTCGAGGTACTTCAGCGAACTCTCGTCGACCGTTACTTGAAGCTTCGTCTTTTCTATGGCCTCGTATGTATCGTCCTTAGGTCCATCGATTGATACTGGTTGGGGCTTGACAGGAACATCGATCTGTTCCTCGTGGAGTAGCTTGACTGCGGAGCTCAGTGACCATGGATCGTCAAATAGAGCGAAACCGAACTTAACCCCTTTATGATCATCCATGACACTCGCTGAGGAGTCCCACTTGCGCAGCTTTCCAACAGCACCCAACAACCGTTGAATGCCGTCATCACCGCCCACGCCTTCAGAAATCTGGTGTATGAAGATCGTCCGGAGCTTTTCTTCGTTTGTAGGGGGAACAAGCACTTGGGGCACTTCCCTTGCTCCTCGGTCGCGATCCATTCCTCTCTCCATACCGAGTCCAGGTCGTCCACCACCAGGACCAGACATATCGCGACCGCCTGTGGGTGTACCAGGCTTCCCTTGTTGAGAGGTACCGAGTCGAATCACGGGGGCGTTGAAGTTGATGTTGGGCATATTGGCAGGCGCTTGGAAGCTGGGCGGAAGGCCGCTTGGACGATTAGCTTGCTGGGCGCCAGACTGCTGGACACCCGGAGGCGCCATTCCCGGAGCAGAAGACATGCCTGGAGGAGGTCCTAAAAACATGTTAGATGAGTAATGGGGGTGCTGTTGAGCGTGCGCACCTAGACCAGGTGGAGGAGCCATTCCTGGAGGGGCATTGTTTGATCCGGGATAACCTCCATAGGCAGGAGGCGCACCATAGGGATTGTCTGCGAAAGTTAGCTCTGTGTGATGAAGCGTGGAGCGAAGAAACATACTGCCATAATGATTGTATGCCATATTGGCGCGACGCTGCTATTGGGATCCTTATCTAACGATTCTCGTGTAGTATTGGTAAGAATAATACCACGACGCGAAATAGTTCTGTTATGATGTTTTGCGCAATCTGGATCCGCGCAAACGTGTTGAAGCATGTAGGCACGAGGCTGAAGATGTTCTTCAAGGTGGGGCCGATAAGATCCACAATTTGCCGCCCTATCGCACCTACATTTTTCCGAGTTATCGCGACTTTTCTGCTTCATCGGATGTCTTGTTCAACAGCTTTATCGACGAGATCCAATTGGGTAATTACGTTGGTGTCTGCAAAATGTAAGTGATGCTATTCAACTACTATTATTCGAAAGTTGACACCATTCAGGGCTGCTTCGCTCAGAACTGGTAGCGCAATGCTATCGAGAATAGCTACGCCATCGACATGTCTCGCTAAAAGGACATTCACCACATCTCTCGCCTTCCGAACAGGACCCAAGATTACCACAGACGAGGAAACTTCACCGGCTGTCAATCCCCTTGCCCGGTCTGATCCTTTCGTTAGAGATCCATCTGCCGAGGCCCGATCTGAAGCTCTAGGCAAGGCCGCTTCCGAAACACGATCGAACCCTCTTATCGGCAGTATCCCTCCTGCCCCTCCTCGCGATGCTCCTGAGGCCGCCGAATCAAAGACCACCAGCCATGCCTACGATGCCACCAAACCATACTCACTGGATATCGCCCAGATCATTGCCAACAAGTCCAGCGCGTTCGGCAATGAAGAAGCTTCAGACCCTATAACCCGTCCCCAAATTCGTGCGAAGCCTGTTACCGGTCGCACAGTCTTTGTCAAGGATTACATAACCAAGACCAGCGGTCCTACTCCTATGGTTGCTCTCAAGATTCTCAACAGGATTGTGCGAGAGGACCAAGTCAAGAACAAATACCACAGCCAAAAATTCCACGAGCGAAAGGGTCTAAAGAGAAAGAGGCTTGCAAGTCAGAGATGGCGAGCGCGATTCAAGCACGGATTCAAGTCGACAGTCAGCAGGGTTATCGAGCTTAAGAAGCAGGGGTGGTAGATGTTCGAGTCTAAAATATCGGCAGAAGCATCGTTGTATTATAGATGTGAGCATGTAAAGTATGATTAACAAGGGACTTCGTTGTCGTGATTACACATAGTCGTCGTCCCAGTCCCTAGTTGGACTCGGCAGCGGGCTGGCCTTGATCTTGGGTCGTGATCTAAACACCGCCTCCATATCCTCCTGCGCCATCAACTCATCTGTAATAACGGCCGTATTCTCCTCGACCTTGGGAAAGTAACTGCCCTCCTTTTTGGGGGGGGCCTTGGGTTTCTTCAACGAACGTCGCCTTTCCATCTGTGCCTTTTGTCTCGCCTTGTCGAAACCGGCCATGCTCTTCCGAGTTCGAGCAAGGAGATCAAATTCTTCTTCGGGGAGTGCCTGACTAGGATCCTCTGCAGAAACAGGTTCTGTGGATGGTGGAGTGATGTCCAAATCATCGGGTTCAGGATCACCAAATGATTCACGGGCCATGGACAAACGTGTCCGCTCGGCAAGCGAAAGTGTGTGTCGTTTTCTCGGTCGTTTGACGGGTGATGGTGAAGTCATATCCATTGACTCGAGGATCTGGTCTGCCATCTCTCGGGTAGGAGATAGTTGTGTGGGCATCTGCTCTGGTGACTCTTGAAGTGGCAGAGGCGAGGGTGGGGGAGATGGTTGCGGGGATATATGAGGTGAAAGCTGGGGCGAAACATCATACTCAGGTCGTGGAGATGCTGCGACTGGTTCGTCCTCTGGCTCAGGGGAGCTGGTTCGCTCGACTGATGAAGCACGAAGAATGCGAGCCTCGTCTTGGGATGGTTTGCGAAGGCTTCTAGCACTTGAAGAGACTGTAGCAAAAGAGTCGCTGGTATGGGAAAGTTTTGGTCGTACTGGAAATCGCTTTGACAAATCTAGCTTCGACTTGAACGTCTTGATGGGAGATTCGGGGAACCCGTCTTCGTCTTCCAATTCACTGATGACTTCTTCTTCTTCTTCCGCTGGCTCGGGGTCTGGCATGTTGATCACTGGTCCTTTCTGAAAGGCAGGACGCTGTAAAAAGTCAAGAGCTGACGACTTTTGCGGTTTCGTGCTTTGGAGCTCCAGTTCTAGATTGCGTACAAGGTCATCGTACTCGTTCAAGAGTTTCGATTTTCCGAACGCTGCCTTTTTTGGGCTGACTTTACCGAGAAGCAAAGCCTCGTGGGCGCCGAATCCAAAGTCAATGCCGTTCCCCTTCTCCTTTTGCTGGACCTTTGACGGCGATGGGACCGGTTGGTCGGCGGACATCTCATTGCGAAACCTTTGCCACTTCTGGAGTCTTTCTTTCTGTACGCGCACTCGACTATCGAGTTGTTCCAAGAGGCCGGTACCGTGCTCTTCAAGTTCGTCAAGTCGGCCTTGCTGCACCCTTCGCCAGACACGATCGAAGGGCATTCCAAGAAGGCCATCCTTTTTTACGCTAGCATCTCCATAGAGCAGAGTCTCCATCCATCGTTCGTTACCTGACCAGTTATTGCGGAGTGTGCGCCACATCTCGCGTCTAGCATCATCAGATATGGTCGTGCCCCCTTCGAGAGCATCCAGTGCTTCTCTCCTTCTAGCAATGCCCTTTTCCTTGACCGTCAATAAATCGGCAAAGTCATGAAACCTTGAGCTAGCCGCCACCTTGCTATTTAATATGCGACTGATGGCAACCCTGTGTGCCAGGACCATGGTGGTGAGGTCTGTGTTATCGCTCTTGTATCCTCGATCCTCGACAGCCATGTTAAGTGCAAGAGCTTTGTATTCACTGCCTGATGCTACCTCTTGGGCAATAACATGCTTGAGAACAGCAGATGAAAACGCAGCAAGAACATCTTCCAGTCTTTCTCCTCGGCATTCGTCCAACATTGTCTTTCGTACGGTGGCATCCCTTCCAAGCACTCCATTTTTCTTGGCTGCTTCGAGAGCTCTTAACAAGGCGGCACGGAGGTTGACAGATTGAGTTTGATCGAGAGGAGGAAAGAACGGTTTGAGTTTCTGGGGTGGGTTAGCGTGTTTCTCTTGGACGTGAACATTCGCCTTACTTTTTTTGCTTCTTCGGGGTCCCATAAAGAGAAGAGCTGAAACAGAGTCCATTCCACGCAATGTACCCTTTTCTTTAGACCTTGGGCACTTGTGCCGCCTGTTGCAAAGGTCTCAGCACAGATTCCAGGCCAGTCCTGGTGTTGGTCGAGGTCAAGAAGATTCAGGTTGGTCAAAAAGATAGATAGAGCAGAAGGCCCATGATGAGCATGTGTAGTTGATGCGGGTGCATGATGAGTATTTTTATTGGTAAAACCGGCCACTAAACGGGCAGATCTTGTTCGCGGAGGCTGTACAGCAGCCATAGCGACATGTTTGTTAATTGATAGAGTTGAGTTTTGTTGAGCGATTGATTGAGTTGCTCTGTCGGTGGATGGCAACTGAAAAGGCGGAGTGTAAATAAGGCTGATGCAGAGTAAACAAATCGGAAGTTGGTGGGGTAGCTTTGACTGACGGTTTGTGGGGCCGGTGCCTACCCTGTATTCATGTTGATACAGTGGCCGGCTACCTAATCACTCCCCCTTGAAATATCAGCAGTCACTATGTTGAAAATATGACGCAGGTCGTGATGAACTGTTAGTACCATGGTTGTGTAGCCTTGGTCTAATCCGTGGGTTGGACATGATGTCAAGGGAGGATATATAGGGCATGGATACGAAAACAACTGCTCAAGGTCCTCCAAACAAACCCAGCAAGGATCCCCCCTGAATCGACATGACGCAGGGGAAAGTTTGAGTTCTCCCGCCCGAACACAAGTCGCATAGCGATCATGCTCTGCTCGTCATAACCAGACGGTATGACGATTTGGTTACCATACATCTCAATTAGTTGAATCATGAAGTTGCGTTCTTGAATCACGGAGTCACGATCTTGTTGAGCCTCCGAGAACTGCGATGTCGTTTATCATTGATCGCACTGGGTGTTCTTGTACGTTTGGAGACCTGCGAGAAGCCCTGCTTGCAACCCTACGACGAGCCATGATGATCTCGATGTGCAGATAGTATTGTAAAGGTACTAGTAGAAGACTTGGAATCAATATGCGACAAACAATGTAGATGTTCAAGTTTAGTCTATTTACCTACCTACCTACCTACCTATCTACCTAAATAGACTAGAGTATGTACTGATCTTACCTACCTAGTTTGTTTATTTTTGAAGCCTAAAGCTCAAAAGCCATCAGGCGAGGCAAGAACGATTTAAGATATATTACTACTGTGACAAGTAAGATCTATAGACCTGGTTACTGAAAATACAGGAGATACCTAAGCTAAAAATGAAATACGTTACTAAGCCACTCCATGGCGTTAAATGCGTCCTGAATTCTTGGTTTTGGAGGTACTTACAAGCATTGTTAATATCGCCAACCTAGATGAGTGGCATTGGATATCACAATTCTGAGTATCATTATACTTTCAAGTTCAGTCTGACTGCTTTATGACCAAACATCACCCTCGAATTTCCGATATTGGTAGGCATTGAAGTATCAAAGATGATTTTCACAGACTAACATTCTATTGTAGTAGATCTAGTCCCCCGAACGCCGCAAAAGACTCCTTGGTGACCGGCACCGGAAACAAAAACGCCCCCCCCCCCCCCCCCCCCAAAACAAAATCGTCCGTTTCGGAATATAAATCCTCATATGAGTACCGATACTATCTATGGACTCATTGCATCCTCCTCCTACTGCTTCTTAGTGATATCCTGTTCCCCGCTCATCTCGTCAAGCTTGGTGGTAAATCTCAACATACGTATCTCGCTCTGCGCAAGTCGAAGATCCCGCTGAACCATTTCTTTCTCTTCGAGACAGCGCTTTACAGTGTTGGCACAGTTCATGGTGATGAGCGTAGACGTGCTTCTCTCAAGTGACTCGAATTTCTCAAAGAGGATACGAACCTTCTTGAGAGCACTCTTCTTCTGACGGATGAGCTGGCGAAGCATGGCCCACGTGGGACGGGTGCGTCTCCCGTCTCCGTCGAAATCCTCAGCTTCGCTGTTGGAGAGGAATTGAACGAGATCGAGCGGACCTACTCTCTCGACTAGGACATCTCTCGCCTGGTATAAGCGTTCGATGTCATCGTCAATCGCACGGATACGAGAGAGGTCACTGACATTGTGCAGGGCCTCTGATTGCTGCTGATACTGACTTTCATGGATCGGTCGACCCTCACGACTATAGGGATTATATCGAGAAGACGAACCAACTGAACTAGCTGATCGAGGCATCTTGAACAAATACCTCATGGCTGTGTGGTTTAGGTTCAAGTAATTGAGTTTCTGGCTTCGGATTGATAACCTGTGCAATGGTATTGTGAACTGAAGCTCTTCTTGTGAAGATGATGAAGATATTAGAAAGTTATTCGAGTAGATGTCTAATGCTCTACTTATACTCAAGACTATGATAGCTAACGCCAAATATTGTGACTGTTCTGACTCTAACGACACTTGTGTTCTGGCTGTTCCAGTGTCCACGAGGGACATCTTAAGGTCTGAGACAAATTGACCACTAGACGCATTGTAGATGAAATCACAGCTTATGCTACTTAGACCAGACTTCTTAGACTGTTTATTTTTATACCCTAAGTGTCAGGAGGCCAACCTTTCTACTACCCCAGGACATTGTATGGAAACCTGAACTCGACAACAAAGAGACAACGAAATAATAGTAGGTCGCGCCGTTCGCACTTTTACTTTTTCTGAAGAAAAGTAAGAAATCATATTAGAACATTGGAGATAATGGAGGGCATTCATATTCGCACTACAATGGAGAACAAAAAAAACCGGCAAGATGGAAGACAAAGACACTCCAAAATAAGTGAACATGTTGTGATTGGTACTTTTGATCATTTTTGTTATGCAAAACAAAAGACACTAATTAGTAGAACAAAAAAACTAAAATGATAGATTGATGATGCAAAATCGAATATGTACCAAAAAGCGCATACCTGCCAAGAACCTCCTCAACCTTGCACTGCCCCAGTGTAATCTCCAAGATACCTTCCATTAGCTCTGGAAAGCTCTATCTTTACCTCGAAGCGGATTAGAATCATGCATGATATACGAAGTCGCTACTTTCGTATATTCATCATCTGCAACTGAAGAAGTAGTTCCTCCTGCCTGACCTCTCCACGGTCCTCAAACCCATTCAGCAATCTCTTGACGTGTTTGAGCATGACTTCTACCATTTCGTTGATCAAATCGTAATCGCCTTTCCGGTATTCCTCTTCGACTTTGACTGTGTCGAGTTGTGCCTTGAGGCCCTTGATTGCTGCGTTTGTAGCCCAGAGACTGGCGATTCTTGTTCAGGGGCGATCGTAGGGACCAACGTTTCTACGCTGGCCGCGAGGAGAGACAACTTTGGGCATTTTGACGTGTTGTGATGTTGTGTGTAATGTTGTGGTATTGTATGCTGTGTGGCAATGAGGTTAGACAGCAGCCAAGAGAGAAACATATATGGTGGAAACCCGATGTCAAGATAAGAATAGGTCTTTGTTATAGAACTCTCTCATCGTCATACCGCAAAAGGGCCATTTCTTTATATTTACTGAAGCATTTAGATCTTTCAGGTATTATTACATCTTTGTAAAGGGACAATGGTTTGGTACCGACATGTTATACCCGGGACAAACGTGGTGATTAGCCACAGGGACTCCTTATGAAAGCCTTCGTAATGCCCTTGATCCATCAAAGAGTGCACCGCTTTCATAGTTCTAGAACCTGCATCCGGCACTAGATAGGCGTACCGCTCCCAATGAACCATTTCTCCATTTTCCTTACGATCCAAACACAATCAACCCTGTAATATTGGCACCAAGGGCAAGTGGTATTAGTTGGCATAGCTAAGAGCGACGCTGCCATGCTACCATTGCCAACTTTCCTGAGGCAATGGTGATGCGTTGTGGTAACGCAGGCCTGAGCTTGCATGAAGCGCTTTAGGTTGTTACGGCAAGACTCGGCGTGAAGTACCTGGCAGAGGACTCCAATTTCCCTGGTAGTGATGCCGTTGATATCGAATTCGAGAGCATTCTTGGCGACCTGTTCGAATTCACAAGACAGAAATCCAAATGCGGTCCCAGCTTTGACGATGGGCGTGCCTGATAGAGGTGCACCTGGTGCTGTAGGTTTGGTGTTTTCAGGACGAGAGGAGTCGATTTGGGACTGTAGTTCTTGATTCTCTGAGCGAAGACGTTGGCACTCGCGCTTCAGATCCTCCCTCTCCCTCTCGCGGGCAAGCTCCAGCTGCTTCTGCTGGGGTTCGAGGCGAATGAGAGTGTCAAGCGCCTGCTGGAGAAGAGAAGAGATAGAAAGCTCAGCGTCGCTCTTGCCCGACTGTACTAGGTCAGTCAACTGCTCTCCAGTGATAGAGTCTTTGCACAAGGCTTACCTCATTAGGGACATCTTCAGCTTCGTCGACTTTCTTTCGCTTTAGAGACATGATTGATCGCATGTAGCTGAGCGTGATCGATTTCGAGAGGAGTGTGTTTCTCGAGATGTGGTAGGGAAATGACCGAGGTCAGTGGGAAATTCTGCAGTGGCAGCAGGTGAAGTAAACAGGGAATGTAAAAATTCTAAAACTGATGTGGTGGGCAGTTCCTTGCCAGCTGCGCATCACTGTCAAAGTTTGGTGCGGCATCGAGGATGTGCCTAAGCGCCGGCGAGGTTGTCAAAGAGCAAGCCCAAAGGCAGAGCAAAAATTACCACCGAAAAATAATTCTATTGCCTAACCCACCTAATTCTAAGACATATGTCCTCATTCATCCTTGGCTCTAGTGATGTTTGATCTTGCGGTTCAATTTGCTGATCTTCTTCTTCAGATCCTGGATCACCCGAGCCTGTTTGCCGCATTTCTCTTTACAGGCCATCTTCTCCTCCTCCCATAACCTCTCTTTCCTCTCAAATTCTCTAACCCTGACAATAGCTTCGTCGAAAGTCTTAGTGTTGACTGATTCGTGCTGAACGGGCGTGAAGTGCTCATACTTCATGTCTCGCCCGTCACTGGTCGGCAACATTTCGCGTAGATTGGCATCTCCTTTGGCTAGATAACGCTGGCCTTTATTATAGGAGCCCTCCGCTTCTTCGTAAATGCGCTGACTGTGTAGGCGAGGCATCACGTCAATGGTGAGGGGGCTGAGCTGTGGTTGGTGGTGATCGGTTGTGGGTTTGTGTCTTTTGCGAGCGACACTATCGTCGTTGAGATGTCGTTTTGCCATTTTTGATGATGTACTCAGTTTGGTAGGAGTTGTTGTAATTCGGAAGAGTGATGCAGGTCAGTATTACAGGCAAGAGGCCTCTTGTATAGGTGCAATATTAGATGCAGATAGTTGTTTGGGCAGTGGTCTTTGATGCAAGACACTCAGAGTTACCACGAGACTACCATTCAGCCAGTCTTAGGTTGTGCATGGCGTTTATTGAAGTGCTTGAAAGGAAGTGACGAGAAGGGAAAGCCTCACATGTTCTTCTTTAGCGGGAAATGATCTGTCAGGAATGACGCCAAGGGTCATATTCTACGGGTACATGCATACTGGTATGCTGCTAGGTGACACCACAAAGAGTTGATCCATCATACAGGTAGTTGTTTGAAAGCATCAATGTCATATGGTCATTAGGTAGCTTTTGATATAATGAACTGCATCAGCTAGACCCCCTGACGTAGGTAGGCGCTAGAAGGCCCGCCATCCCTTTGTGAGAAAGACAGCATAGAAATCGGTCTACCTAATGCATATATTGCTAGTCCCCAGAAATAGAAATGAAACTCGATTCTTAGGTTGACTGTGATGCTAGGTGACTTATATCGCCTCTTTGTCATCAACAAGGTTGCGACTCCAGGTGCAACTTGTTTCCTTTTGTATTTCTAGGAACCAAGCGTGCCACTAGCGATATAATAATAATAGTTTGACGATAAGTCTTTCCTGGCAGTGAATATGGAGAAGTTATTGTCATAAAGTGTTGCAGCTGGCTATCGCATGCGTCACAATCGAATCTGCATGAGTTCTATAGCATTCAATACTAGGTGTATGTGCTATGTTTGGCGGTCTTGTCTTCTTCTCTGTGGCGTCTTTGTTTGTAGAACTGCATTCACTAACACATGTTGTCGAACAGGCCATTTTTAATTCATTTGCTCCAAATGTATTCAATTTTAGTTTCATTCTAGTACTTATAGGGGCTAGTATGTGGTCTTTCCTTGTCCAACATCTATCTTACTTGCAACCATCGACACAACCACAATGACCTCGGATATGGATGACAGCGACAGCTGCGGAATCAAAAAAGAGCTGATTGAGAGCCAAACGGTAACTCAATTTCTGTTTCTAGATTCCTTGAAACACCTTTCTAATTGTTTACAGTCAAGCCACACCAGAAGTGTTGGCGTTGACACCATGTCTCAAGACCTCGTCAACAACCAAGTCACCGTTGACCGACTATACGAGAAGTACCGGGATTTAGAGGAAAGCATGGAAACGCATATACTAAGTCTCAGAGGAGAGATAAAATCTCTGAAGTTTGAACACTCTTATTGTGCAAGCAATGCGAAGATAGTGAACGACTTGAAAGAACAGATAAATCGATTGTCGGTCCAAGGCGCAACCAACGAAACCTTCATGGAGAACTACAAGCTTCGTATTATGGTTTCAGAGCTCCAGGATAAGGGAAGAGATCAAGAGGAAGAGATTAGTAAACTCACTAGGGGGAATCAAGATCTCCAACAAGTCATGGATCAGCAGCGCAAAGAGATGGATGACCTTGAGGGGGAACTTGATGACACTCGAGACGAGAACTTTGGTTTGACGCATGTTCAAGACGACATGGCTTACAGACTCAGAGATATTTTGAAGGAAAATGATAGATTGGAAAAAGATCTTGTCGAGGAGAGAAGGAAATCACAACCTTTTCAGAATACACATCCTTCTGAATCTCAGATGTACAAGAGCGAATTAGCAACGTTGAAGAGGCTTTTGACTGAGAAGGAGTCCAAATTGGCATTCTTAGAGGCCATTGTCGGGGACGAGCTACAGGATTGGGCCGGATAGATTCGACCCTTAGCCTCTACGGGTCTCACAGATAGTTTAATAAGAATTCACTCCAAAAAGGCAGAAGACACGATGTCGTGAATATTGTTCCAGCATCAATCAAGCAGTCGAGGTAGTTAGGCCCTGTAAAAATTGGAGTAAAGTTTACCTGGAAATTACAAATCGACTCACTAATTTCGTCTCTTATACCTGATACCCTGAGGCCAGGCTAGCAATGCCGATAATTGTGGATCAACATCTGCCGACACAAGGTTGCATCCGGTAGCCGGCGCCCCACAAACTCGGAAGTCAATTTGACTTCATTTGTTGATTGTCACCACCACAATGTGTACTCTTTCCATGGCAATAGCCGATAAACAAAATGGAGAGACTACAAACGACAGATAAGCGTAAACTATTTTTTGTTTGATGCAAGCAAATGAACAAAGGAGAAATTATCAACTCTACCGGGGTTATCTTATAGCACTATCGGTTAGTTTATAAGACCTACAGCAGCCCTGGCGTCACTCGACAATGACATAGGAAATTCATGAGAAGAAGCCCGACTATACATGATCTCGTGCCGTATAATACCTTAGTTTGGCAGCCATGTATGTGTAAAGATTATGGAAGTCAAGGATGTGCTCACTGCAGGCTCTGTCGGAGGTGGTATGTCTAGGAGTGAGGGGAGACAGGTGGCTAATTTGAAATGTGGTCCGGCTCTTTGAACGAGGCATCAGACACATCATTCGTATAAAACATATACATCTATATATGTGTTGTTGAACCTGGGAAGTAAATACCCGTATCCCCGTAATTCGATTCTTCCCATGAGCGTTGACCTGACAGCTCGTAATCCCAAAACAACGACTTGATCCACTTCTAAATCCGATTTCCTTCCTTCCATTTCATGGTTCCATACACACATGTCCTCGCAAATCACAGTGTACATAGGCCCTCAAACATTAAGAGTCCAGGTTCTTCCATCTGTTGATCCTTAGTGATTGATAACTTGGATAGACAAAATGGAAACTTACTTCGAAAAGCTCGCGAGGAGGCAGGTGTAAATCGGGAAGCGAAGCTACGTCGCCCAGTGAGTGATCCCCAGCGAACGTTGTCAATCTCAGTGAAGGGAGATTCGGGTTTGGGCGCAACACTGAACATTACACCTCCGACAGAAGTAGAAGGGTTCATTGCTTTGACTTGGCGATAGGCCTGGAGGAGAGTTTCTTCGCTTTCCACGCGAAAGGCGATGGTCTTTGAGGTGTTGGGCACCTTGGTAAACACGTCGAACTGAGTGCCACCACCACGACTGTTACTATGTATTGCAAGGCCCGGAGGGGCACGACTTCCGGTTCGCCCGATAGACTGAAGAACCATGCTATCCACCATGGTTATGTCGCGGGAGGGTCGATAGCTGTCGTAGTACGGGCGCCTCCAAGGTCCGTAGCGGGGGCCGCGGGGAGGCTGGTTCTCCTGGTTCTCCCAGGTATTGGCATCGTCGGTCGTAGCAATGGGAGGGTTTTCCTGGTGCGTGGTGCCCTGGACGGGCTGCGTGTTCGCATCAGGGGCACATCCCTCGGCTTCAGCAACGGGGTGCTGGACAGTGGGATCTTGATTTTCATTGTTTGCATCGGGTAAGTGATCAAAGTCCGATTGCTGAGGATGTTGGCTGTAGGTAACGCTCCAGTTACCATATGGCCGGGCTCGGTAGCTAGACCTGCGGTTAGGAGGTCCCTTCGGCATCGTGACGTGTGCTTCAGGGCGATGCAGGTAACTGCGGAATGTTATGTGCTCGAGGTGGAAGGGGAAAGTGAAAGTGCGGGGGAAGTGAATGCTGTTTTTAAAGCGAAGAAAAATCGCGTGCTTGGGTGCCTAGAGGATTTTTTGCGCGGCTCTCTGAATCACGGCAGGAGCGGGCGGGTTTGCTCCTTCCTTCTTGCCCGATACCTGCTTCGGATGAATTGAATTAGGTAATCTATTTTGGTATTAAACCACTGTTTTATTTTCATGGCTTGAAGCTCCTAATAAAGTGCTAACCCTTTCACACGCTTCATCATCCTTCCATGTCGACCTAAAAGAACATCAATCTGAATACAGCTCAACTGATCAACATGAGTATCACCGTGTGCCTCTTTCCACCTGCTCTACCACATCTCACATGCACTCAGTGGTAGGGAGTATAGATCCCCTAAGGGGAAAATGTGCGCAATCTGTTTCCGGAGGCCGTCTCTACGACCTCGACCAAGAAATTGCAGGTCGGGCCACCGACCTTGCAGACCTCTGTGGACGGAATCAACTGTACGGAAGCACTGCTGCCAATGGATACGACTTCGTGGATGCAAAAGCACTTGTTCTTGGTTCCATTCTTGAGAATTGAAGGCAGGTTCTTCTTTCCTGTACGCTTGTTCATGTTACGTTTGAGTTGCTCGATCACTTCCGCTGAGTGACTGTTGTCTTCCAAAAGTGCCAAGCCCGGAATTGTTTCATCAGTATCGTCGTCAATAACCATTATTTCCTCTTTGATTGTGTTATGAAGGCTGGCGCCGGCTGGTAGAATAGGCGTATGAGCAGAAGAGGGTGTTTGAGCTGGAGCAGGAGGAAGGATAGAGATACGCCCTCGTAGTTCACGTTTCTCACGCTCGATTTTACGTTTCTCGCTCTCTGCCTCGGGTTTCTCGCGCTTCTTCTGTGTCTTTGTCTTCTGTCGCTCTGTTTTTAGATTAAGTACCTGGCCCTTAATCTGGTTTTCTAGCGTTTTGATCCTTTTGGGATTTGTTTTCTTCTCTTGAACGAGTTTCTGAATGGCTTTTTCTGTTCGTCGACCACGTCCTGAAGTCTCTTCGCAGATGATCCTGCAGATCGGGCGCCGTCAACTTGCTCCCGGATCTGGGCGGTCAGAGTCTGGATGGCATAAGTTAGCTGAGCTCGAAGATCGGCGACCTCTCCTCTTAGCTGGTTATTGTAATCTCGTAGGTCACTGTTGAGCAGTGCAGTATCTCGTTGTTTCTTGTGAACGAGCTCCAAGTTGTGCTTCATGCGCGTAATTTCGCGTTTCGAATCCTCAACAAGCCTCGAGACCTCGAATGGGTCTTGTGATGGAGGAGGCATATTTTTAATAGAGGCTTGGTGCTGATGACGATGTAGTGAAATGTGTGTGTGTGTGTGTGTGTGTGTGTGTGTGAGAGAGAGAGAGAGAGAGAGAGAGAGAGAGAGAGAGAGAGATGGAGGAGGGGGGCGGGGCAAAAAGGCAGATGACTGCACGGAATATCTCTGATCAAGCGATGAAGGTGATCCCGAAGCCTAGAGAACGAAGAGCAGAGAAATCTTGCACTAAAATTAGGTAACGACGTTTTGGAGCGCTTCCTTTTATGTGATGTGGCATGCTGGTATAGCGTAGTTTTAGGAGGGGCTTTGATGAGCTTTTGAATTTAGGTAGGTAGATAGGTAAGTGCCTATTCTAACAAAACGTGCCAGAGGAGATGATAGAATGAAAAGAGAAATTCCTTTTGCTAATTTCCGTAAATGCTTGCTTTTACCAAAGCACGACCTGACATACCTAATCAGAAATTGTAAATCTTCGCCTTTTTTTGTACAACATCCACTTCTTTACCATTTCTCCGGTTTCACTTCCACCTATAACTTTATTCCAATTTACAGGCTCTTGGACCAATGGGCGGCCGTGACTGTGAGTCCGAGGATCGTTGTGGCTGATAGGCACCTCGACGTTCGTTGGCGCTGTTTCTTCTATCAGATATTTGAACTTAGCTACGATCACTTTCATGAATCTTTCGTCTCTTTGCATAGTCTTCCTCCTGAATCTTGTTGGAGTCTCTCTTACGAATCCGGTTTGTTAGCGTCATCAGCACCTGATGTCTGTTCGAAGCTCCCGAGGTCCGCACAGTCGTGAATGCCTCATTACTGATTTTTCTGTTTCCGTGAGATCTATTTGAGAGCTCGTCCACATTGCGGAATTCGCCCTTCGTATCGTCTTTACGATTGTTATCGTAGAAGCCAGTAGGGTCTCGGTAAGGTCCCCGATACATGTGAGTGTCATAAGCGCTTCTGGCGCTTTCGGTTGGCTATGTTCAGTTTTGGGTGTGGAACAAGATACCAGCAATTGGTCAAGTTCTTGATAGAAATCAACTTCGCTTTCGGAAGGCTGTGTTTCCGCGATAACTGGCGGCTTCAAGGATTTGTGAGCAAGAGGCCCTGGATGTTGATCAACTCTTATCAAAGATCTCCGGGATTCGTGCAAGTAATCATCAGCAGTATCAGCTTGGCGGGAAATGGGGGCTTCGGCTGTCTCTAGTACCTCACCGTCTTCAAGTTTTGATGAAGAGTGGTTAGAGTGGTGATCGTGGAAAGGATATCCATCAGACTTGAGAGGCGGGTCGTTGGCTTCGGAAGCAGTTATACCTCCATAATCGACAGTTAAGACAGGACTGCAATGACTCCGATGCATATTATGTTCCCCAACTCCTTCGATAGCTGCTCCTGATTCATTGGCTCGATCTTTGAGTTTGGTGGCCAGCCCAATGCGAGTATAGTCGGGCATTTCTCGACGTTGCAAGTTGATTCACGATGTCTCGTACGCCTCCGCAAGCTCGTGCAACCTCTTAGGATGAACTGGAGGTTTTTTGCTGGCGGAATACACTAGGAAATATGTCTCGCAGGTGGTGTTAGTAGTGTAGCGTTCGAGGCTATTAAGGGCATCGATAATGACAGTCAGATCTCGAGTCTTGATGGGGGCGAAGCTTTCGAGGGATTCTCTTTTGGTTATCTTGTAATGTTCCACAATGCGATACATTAGCTGAGCATGTCTCGTGACGATGCGGTTGTCATCCTTTCGCTTCTGTTGATAGCTTTGAAATCGCTCCACCATGGACTCTTGCCTATCTGATGGACGAAAGCTCCCGCAGTGGACGTCGTCAAGCAATTGCTACTCCATCTCTGTGAAGCCGTGACCATCATCGACCCTGCAAATCACAGCCTACCTGACGAAAATAGGAATGAAGTGATGGTCCTTGTCGTTAGAGAATAGAGGGTGAGCCATAATTCGTGTGAGCTTTCTGCAGAAATCGCGGATCCAAAGTGGATTCTCTTTCATTTCTCCATGATGCTTGAAACAGTCGCTCGCGGTATTTTCGAAGTTCGTGCGCCGATACATGGAGATCAATGCGAGAGGGTTGATCCCGAAGAGTTCCAAAGACATCTTCCACGCCGCCAATAGATTATGGGCCCCTTCAGAGTAACGCTCTATGGCTACCCTCTCCAAGCTATTTTCCCAACAGTTATTGAGGATATACTCCTTGGCCTGGTTCCAGACGGCAGTACGACGACGAGCGGGAGAAGAGGATTGATGCTGAGATCCGATGAATCTATTGGCAATGGGGCCGTTTTCTTGGATCAGTCGGGTCATATGCTGAACTCCTTGTCGATATGCTTGCCGCTGCTCGGAGATAAATTTGGATTCATGCTTGCTCTCAAAGTCGGAATTATTGTCCTCCCATTCACTCCCATTGTCGTGGATGTCTTTGAATTCATTCTTGTCATCTTCACTGCTGTCACTGATGTCGATTTCGGTCCATGGGACAAAGACGGTTCTGTTTCGGAGTCCCAGACCTTCGGTAGGTGGAATCTTGACCTTGGCCTTGTTCTTGGACCCTGAAGGCCTTCCAGGCTTCCTTCTTTCAACGAGGCCAGGACTCTGAAGTTGAGTGTCTGGGTCTTGGTCAACGGTATCGACAGTAGCATCCGCAGGGGTAGAGGGGCAGCATGGCTCGCTTTCGGTGTTCATTATCGCCACCTTTGGAGACACTCTTTAAAAAATATTGATTTCTCGGTTCGGTATTGATACGCACAAATTTTGGTGGTGCTGTTGCTTTTGCTGACTCAATAGATCAAGGCTGGTACCCGCGTTGGAGAAGTCAGGGCAAAACAAACAACGAAACCAACCATTCAACCCCGCGCAAGCCAAAGCTGCCTGAAAGGAGATAAAACGAAGCAACAAAGAAACATATTCTATTTCGTTTCATCAAACTACCACAGTTGTATCTAGATAAGATCTGGCGAATAACTAGTTGTCACGGAACTTGATGATTATACTCCTGCGTGTTCCGGGTAGAAACATTCCATTCAAAGACATAATCGAATCATTAGACCCGTCAGTATATGCAGCCCAGGTGTTTTCGCCGGCATTCAGCCTGGCGCAGAAATTCTCTTTCTCGCCATTGCCCCTGGAAGTGTTGTATACCCGCATGTCCTTTCTGGCATCTACGTTAACCGTGACACACTGAACCACCGTGAGGACGCCCACGGGGAAAGGTCATGGGTATGGGGGAAAAGGAGGAGATTGGTACCGGAGATACTGGTTGCCCTGCTGGTACCCTCTGGGGTCGACCTGTGGTTGGTAATACCAATTAGACATCACAGGCATGTAGGGAGTGTAAGGTGGTGTCGTGGGAGGTATTATATACGATCCCCACGGTCCATGGCCATTACCATTGCTATTGCCATATTGTGGATTATGATATCTGTAATCCTGTGACATTGGATCCTGATATCTCGGGACCTGATATCCTGAGTTCTGGTGTCCTTGGCTCTGTAAGTAGTCTCGCATGTCGAACCCATGTCCGGTTGGAATCTCTCCTCCGAATGCACCGCCTCCATCACTGCCAAGATTATGAGGCTAAGATCGCCTGCCGTATGGGCTGTAACGGTCCCTACCGCTGTTTGCTCTTCTTCCCCCGCGCCTAGGCATTGTATTTCACTATTGAAGCGCGTCAGTCAGTAAATCCGAACAGAATGCAACATATATATGAGCCTACCGCACGTCGGGGTTGTTATCCCTGCGGCTGTTTTCTCTGTCGCTCGTTTTATGAGAGCAGAGTTGAATTGGGAAAATATATACTGTCGTCAACCTTCTTGCTTCTCCTTTATGATGGTGGTTCATAAGGTTCAGATTTGATGTAAGACTTTGATCGACCGAGATATGTGTAATGTAACCTCTGATTTTCTGTTCAGACATCAGTCAACTTGTTCAAAAAGTGTGCAGGTTCACTTTACAGTGCTCTATTTGCTGTGCGAATCCCCAGATTCCCAGGAACCATACATTTGTTCTGATTCAACTTTAACTCCATGCATGGGTTGTTGGGTAGCTTCTGTATATACATGACGGGTTGATGCTGATCAGTTGAATTGCGGACGAGCTTTACCACACAACAAGAAGCAACAGTTAAGAGTGTTATATCAAATACAACTATTGAACGAAGAGTCAGTACAGAAAATGTAGGACGTGGGTTATGTTGTTCTATCACTTCCCTGTGAAGTGATAATTAAACTAGAAACAGGAAGGTTCTACATGCAACTCCCAACCCATAAGTGCTCCTTCCATGATATGAGGCAGACGTTGATGTTCTGCCCTGTATGAAGTAATCAAATACGAGAGCTGGGATGATTGGCCAGCTTCATTAATTGCATGTATCAGCACTTGCTCCATTAGGTACTTAGGTACCAGCAATCTCGGTTTTAGCCCAACGTCTCCAACCTCGTCACATTCATGTTTAAGTTGACCTCTGAAGCTCACAAACCAGGAGGAAGGTGTCATGCCTGCCAGCGCATACCATGGAGATACGAGGAATGGCCCCATGAAGTCCCGGTCGCAATTCACCACCACAACTCTTTTGCAGACCTTGAATCTTCAGCTGCAACCTGTCATCTATGTCGAACCTTTCGCGCGGTGGTATACTATAGTCTGAGGATTGTTAATCTCGACGTTCCTCCAACTGGTCCATGCACTCTGTGGCTACCCAAGAAGAACTCCATCGATCTTGCGACCACAGCTAGGCGCGATGAATCTGATTCACACGTTACTTCGCCCGTAGTTATCAGACTCTACGTCGGAAACGTGCTGTTTCTCCCAATACTTGCAGTAAATAGTTTTGGGCTGGATAACGAGTCTGTTGTGAGTTAGCAACCTCATAATGATCTTTAAAAAGGTTAACAAACGCAGCCCGCGGCTCCGGTTTCCCTAAGGGAATGTATGAGCCCTTCCTTATTGAGCAATTTATGAGTAGAGATTGATAACTGTGTTAATAAGCGCACTATCCATCAGGAATGCAATGTCAGATGGTTTAGGTAGGATGCGACAGTGGCTTCTCCGACACGACTGATTGACGTTGACACCGGTGACGAGAGATACGTTCGATTGATTGTGATGGCGGAAGACCTTCTAAACTACCGCCGTCCTAGCTATCTAACACTGAGCTATTGCTGGGTATCACTAACCACTCAGCTAGAACTACTCACACAATGACACCCCAGCGTCGAGAGGGTTCCCAGTCGACACTCTTCCAAAAACTATCAGAGAGACCATTCAAGTGACTCGCCTGCTAGGCTTCCGATACCTTTGGGTTGACGCCGTATGTATCATACAACCAGACGCGGGTGATAAGTATCTCGATGATTGGAACAAGGAGGCACCCCGTATCGGCTCCTATTACCTACATTCCAAATGCCCCATCTCGGCATCAGCAGCTTCTGATAGTAGTCAAGGCCTCTACCTCGAACAGAAAGCCTGAAAATATCCAATCAGCACTTGTCCTTTGGCTGTTAGGGTAGATCGACAAGAGTACGTGTGCTTGAGTGTACCAAAGCCACCACCCTGTGAGGACTGGTCTTCTGAACATTTACGAATAAGAGGCTGGTGTTTACAAGAGGCAGTACTTTCGCCTAGGACTCTTCATTGGTTGAAATACACTCTTATTTGGTAGTGTCATGGCACGGCAAAAGATATTATACAGGGGAATGATCCGCATGAAACTCGAGTAGACTCGACATCAGGCCCACCCCAGATCAGCCTTGCTCAAGACACTGACCATGCTACTGGGGGCGCCTGGACGAATCTTATCAGCAAATACTCCAAAATGTGCTTCATTTTCGAATCAGATCGCCTCATTGCTATCCAAGGCTTGGCTACTCGTCTTTCGGATATCTATAATGACGAATACTTTGCAGGCGAATTTCGCTCCCGACTTGCCGACGGCTTGCTGTGGAAAAACTTATACTTCAAGGCCGATCATGCACTTCCAGGGGTTCCGACATGGTCGTGGGCATCTAGGTGCCTAAAAATATGGTTCATTCCAGTATCACGTTCATTCATTCGGTTCGCCAAGGAAGACGTCTTTCCAGCGAATAGTAGCCCCATAGACCTCGGTATGCCCGAGAAGTGCTCCTTAAAAGTTCAGGCCCCGTTGATCATTGTTGATTTGGAAAGAGACTTTACAGAAAGTAATATTGTATCGAAAGTTAAACGGCCAGTGTTTACCTGCCACGTACAGCTCGTAAAGGATGGAAAAGACAGGTACGCCGTCAACTTTGAGTTTGATGCCGAGAGTCTCATGCCAAAATCATTCATCAGGCTACTAGTATTCTTACTGGGTCTTCATGCCCTGTATAAGAAGCGAGGATTTGTCGACATACAAGAGTTTGAAGAGTTAACCATCGTTGACCCTGACACAATAGTATCTTTGGAGGGAATTTCTGTTCGGCAATGCGGCGCGTATTACGAACGTATTGGGCGATTAGATTTTGATGTACCCAAGAACTGGGTGCATCGCAAAATTTTAAATAGTTATATAGACCAAAGCAGAACTAAAGTATGCCTGATCTAGGTGATTAGGAGTTCTGCTAAGTCAACATGCAGTGATACATCACTCAGGTTGATCTTTCTCAATTTGATTGATGAGCGAGTTCATCCTTTTGATCAACTGGATTTGTGAAAAAGGTTATCATGGCTTGGAATTAACATCATTCACCAATTCTCCAGATGATGATTCTATTTGCAACAGAGTAGACATATGTATAGCTAGCCGGGTAAGTTGAAATTCTCACGAGGATACTGATTTGGAGGCTATAGGCAGAGTTATATTACAAATTAAAAAGAACACTATTCGCTCTTGTTCTCACAGAGCCTATCGACAAACCAAACGTAATTCCTGAGCTTGGGAGGCATTCTACTGAAAGTCTTGTGGACCGCCTCCCACGAGCTAGTTGCTAGATCAATGGGTCTGAGACAGTGTAATCCCGTGTCGATTGAATCATTCGCCCAAATCTCCAGGTTGCCATCTTCAAGAGTTCTGATTCCGAACTCTACAGTCCAGGGATATCCGTTCATATTGCTGTTGGGCTCGAAATGCTTGTAAACAAATAGGGAGGGGTACCATGGCTTAGTTTTAAGGGGAGACATATTGGCCCGGCGGTTCACCAGAATCTCGATTGTTGTTCCTCAGTTTTAGGCCAATGGCGGCAACTGCAGGTATCGTGTTGTTGCGTGTTGCAGAAGACACATCCGTGAACGTACCCGTCCAATCTCGGTATCATACATGTCGCGATGGTATGGTATTTTCGGTAGTAATTTGCGCATTCCGACGTCGTATAAGGTTCCCCCATAAGGATGTATTCTGGCATCTCATCTATCAGCGTTGTGTGACAATGCGGCAAGGGTGCTGGTACGCCGCTGGGAGGTTGTCCGCCGCCAGGAAGCCTAAATGTGTGTTCAAGGTCGGCATCTCTGCAACCTTCAAGCTAGAAGTCGGGGTCGATTCTGGAGTGCATCTTGGCAGTTGGTAGTTCAAAATTGTTTCGTACAATGTCACAGGCAGCGAGGTAATGCTTGAGAAGGAAGTGTTGATTATTGAAGTAATGATAAAATGGTCAATGCAATAGGTAGAAGCGAGGTTTGAGATAGGCCAAACTTCTATAGCCGGCAGTGATTGATAGATTGAATTAAACCCAGAGCAAAAGCTTCTTTCACAACTTTTCCCATGCCTAGGAGCCTCACGGACAAGCTCCGATACAACCACAGCCTCTCACCAACAACCTGAGCTTTACAAAGAGATGAAGGAGATTTACTATGATACTTAGAGGGCGAGATGAAATTATATTACTAATTTTTCAGAATTAATTTTATTTGTTTGCGTTGAGTGACTGGTAAGCTTGGCCTAATTGGGCAATGTGATTGTGCAAACAATTCTATGTAGCTTTCCAGTGTTCCAGAGATAAGCACAATGCATCACATAAATAAATGTTTCAAGAACCTTTCGATTATCTATCACCTTTATATATTTCTCAAAGCGTCTATATATGTCTTTAGTATAGGGACGGCATTACAGTTGTCAGATAAAAATGAGACTGCAACAAATATGTATACATTTATATATATCGCATGAAACATATGAACATGTCAACACGGCTCTGTTCAAGTTATCTCTAGTACAAATTGATTTTCACTGTATAATCTTCCTTTACAACTCTTAGTTCTCATCCATCAGGTAAACATCGCGTTCCAGTGCACGAGTGTTGAGCTTGCATGTTGTTAGCAGAAGGACCTCTTACACAATCATGTCAAATTTACTCACCACCTTAGAAGGAATGTTGTGAAGATCGGTGATACCGATCTGAGCAGCATCGGCAAGGATTTCACTCTTGAGGATCTGGATGAGCTTCTTGGGACCTTCAACGCCGTAAACATTGGAGTACATGAAACTAGGAGATATTAGCACAGAATTGTTTATCACTAACTTGACGATACTTACGGACGTCCAAGACCAACAGCCTTGACACCAAGAGCCAACAGCTTGATGACATCGCTACCATAGCGGATGCCACTGTCGGCGATGACCTCAGTCTTGGTGAAGATTTCAGGGGCATTACGACGAATTTCGTAGGCGATCTCAAGAGGAGATGGGGAGTAGTCGACTTGGCGACCGCCATGGTTAGAGAGCCAGATACCATCTGCTCCAGCCTCAACAGCGCGGAGGGCATCCTCGGTGGTGGTAATACCCTTTAGGATGATGGGGAGTTTGGTGTGGGCCTTGATCTCATCGAAAAGGTCCCAGCTGAGGACAGAGGTAGCACCGTTACTGAACTGTGTTAGCTGTATTCGGCATAGTTTGCATCATTTTACATACGCATTGGTGGTATCGTATCGCGCAGCGCGATGACGAACAGAGGTAGCAGGGGCATCAATAGTCCAAACAAAAGCCTTGACGCCCTGCTCCTCAGCACGCTTCATGGCATCCCATGTAACAGAGAGGTTGGCATTGGAATAAATTTGCTGGAAGATGGTGTTACCGCGCTTCTTGCGCTGAGCACCAATCTCTTCAATGGACTTGCTAGCGTAGAGAGCAGCGACGTAGAGAATGTCCTCATCCGCGGCAGCATCGACAAAGTTCAGCTCACCACGTTCCTCGTCACCATAACCAGCACGAGCAGCGGGAGAGATAAAGATGGGGGCGCTGAAGTTGTGGCCGAGAATGGTAACTCCGAGTGTCTCATTAAGACCACGGACGCTGGCGAGTTGGTGAGGTCGAAGTCTGGCCTTTTCCCAAACCTTGAGGTTGTTACGGTACGCCCACTCTCCCGCAGCGGCAGTGCGATAAAAGGCGTACTGCTGGTCAGTCAAGGTCTGACGAGCAGCAAAGTCAAAGTCGGGAACACCGCGGATGTCCTTGAGAAGAGGACGACTGCCTTGGGTCCAGTTGGTGCTGGCGAGGTAAGTGTCCATGCCAGTGTCAGGCTCGTTTACCCAAGCATCGTAGGCCGAGGCAGTAGCCGCCAAAGAGGTAATGAGAGTCGAAGTACGCATTTTGGGTATTGTATATGACCTTCCCGAGGTTTAAAAGAGTGACTGTAGCAACTAGGCTAGTAGAACAAAAGAGTGACTATGGTGAGCCTGGAGTGTCTGAGAAGGACTTCAAAGACATGACTGAGTGCGAAGTTCGTGAGAATAAGTATTTACAAACTTTAGGCCAAGGCCGATTTTCGGCAAACTTCTCATGGTAGTCTTGTCCGTCCTTGAAATTGCTTGTGGAGCCTCATGCCTTGGGTTGATTAGGAGTGGATATGTATCCGTACGCAACTGGGAACTTTTGATCTGATTGATAAGATGTGTTCATCCTAGTAGAAGCAATTGTGTACGGCAAGCTCCGAATGTCATACATACCATCGCTCTTGATCAAGATTGAGGCTCCAACCATTAACTTACAGTAGACCAAACGTACACAGTTTAGATGTATATATCTTGTTCTTTCCTATTTTTTACTCCATTGGTTTTGTTTGACGTCGTTCCTGTTACCATGGTTTCATCCTTTAGGAGTTGATGAATTCCTCCAATCCCGACAAGACGGACATGAGAGTCTCGCTTTATTAAAGAGGTCAATGCAACTTGTAAAATCTCTCCACTCGTTTAACTCATCCCATCTTTTTGTAAAGTGGGATGCTGAGTCATTTACTTGAATAGACCCAAATAGACCCCATGGAGCCCCCACGTTTCACTATCGTACAACTCCACAATGCAACGGCCAAACGTCTTGAAGAGGAAAGTGAAGATGAAAACTCTAGAATAAGTGAAACTGTTATCTATTTCTCGACTGAGAGTTTCGATTTTAAAGTAGAAGGCAATAGAGAATATGAAAATGTAGAAGTAACAAGTGGGCTAATTTACCATCTCCTTCCACATAAAACTAACCCCATCTCATGAGGTTGTAATTTATCCGTCCCGCTTATACAAAACTATAAATGCCACTAAAATCACTCAACTTTAGAATGAGACATGATCGATATCCTCTTTGAATGTTACTATAGATTCATCTGGAAAGTGCAAAGGTCTTGGCACTGTCTCTTTCGAGTCGGTCAACCGGGTACGCAGTCATCAAGCATAAGAGACGAAATCAGTAGGTCACTTTATGTTCCTTAGAGTATAGTTCTTAGACTACTTATTTTTATATCCTAACACTTGGTAGATCTTTTCTGCTAGTCACTAGACAGTTTCACCGAAACGCGAAACATGTACGCAATTTTGGCAAACTATCGTATGCTTTCTCCACTAATAACTCACTCCAATGAAACAAGATGCAATAGGTCTGGTTCTTTGACACAAGACATCTGTTTCGTGGCATATCATGATGACTGTTTTTCATTCTGAGAGTATTCTGAAATTGTAGGTATTTAGAAGAGTATTCAAGGGGTATCGCGCCTCAAGGGCAGAGCTTGGCTACTGAGTTCCCAACACGGACAATCTACTATCATTTTACAGCTGCTATAACAATTTCAAACCTCTTCCTTGGCTTTCTTCTTGTCTTCCAGCTCAACCTGTTCCACACTTGCAGTCTCGATATCCTTCTTTTGATGTTGAGGAAGCTCGTCGTTATGGACACCAGCTACCGCATGCTCAAAAGCACGTCCACGCTTCTCCGGACCAAACATAGTGGTGAAGATGATACCAAGAGCAATGATAGCTGTGGCAACGCCCATTACAGGTCCGTATGCCTCGACCTTGTCGCCATTCTTGAGAGTGACAAATGTCTTTTCCGCGACAGCATTGACAATTTCTGTACAGCATATTAGCATTTTTTTTTTTTTTGGATTCAATGGGACGTAGGGAAACTTGCGTGCACTTGGGCTGCTGATCATATTGCCAATTTGGTAAGTTACCCCTGGGAATGAGGATCTGAAGGCAGGGGGAGACAGTTCGTTGAGATGGATAGGGATGACACCCCACGCGCCTTGGATGAAGAACTGAATCATGAAGCCACTCGCACTTAGGCCACCTTCAGTGGTGGGCAGGATCCAGGCTGGGATGAGAAGAGCAGACATGAAGGCCGAGCAACAAATAGCACGTCGACGACCAACGAATTGACTCAAGTAACCAATGATTGTACCACCAACGCAAGCACCAGTCTTCATGAGAATAGAAGCACGAGAAGCAGCCTTGTTGTCGAATTCCTTCTGTTCAAGCATGAAGGTAGTGTATGAGTCTTGGGAAGTGTGGGAGTAGTAGTTGAACCAGGTCATGAGGAAGCAGCAGTAAACACACATCTTCCACTCAGCGAGAAGCATCTTTTTGCAATCTTGCCAGAAAGCACCAGGTGAGGCGGACTGCTTTCCTTTGGCGCGGGCTTCGAGGAACTGTTGAGACTCGGGGAAGAAGATACGGACGATACCGACGGCGATGGAAATTCCAGCAGCGATCCAAAAGACAGTCTTCCAGCTCTCGGTACTACCTCCAACGCCAAGGTTGGCGCATGCAGCCAAGACGTAGCCGAATGAGTACCCCTGCTGAAGAATGCCGGACATCAAGCCTCGGGCGTTGGAGCTAAGCGATGTTAGAACGGGAATAATAACGACTCCAAAATTAGGCAGACTTGGCATCACAAGTTTTTAGGATTGGGGTAGACTTACGGACACGACTCGAGAGCCATGGCAATAGCATTGCCATAAACACCACCCATGAACAGACCAAAAAGACTTCGCACAGCAAGGAACTGGTTGAAGGTGGTACTGTAAATGGTGGCGATTTGCAAAACACCAAGGATGATCATGTTGAAGACCATGGGCCACTTGCGTCCCCACTTGTCACCAGCGAGACCAAACATAGCAGCACCAACAGAGCGGAGAAGAAGGGTTAGGGTGATGGCGGTTGTGATGGCAGTTTTGCTGGTGTCATAGTAAAGAGACAACTTCTTGGTCTGGATCGATAAGGCGTGAAAGTCAAAGGCATCAGCTGTCCAGGCGCAGAAGCCTACAAGGAAGAAGATCCAGTCCTTGCCTGACAGTTGAGCCATGAGACTGATGGGGTTCTTGATAGGGTCTGGGTCCCTCCATTCAGTTGTCTCTTCACCATGTTCGTTTGTGATGACGACGCGCTGCTTCCAGATGAAGAGATCAGCGAAGGCCTGCTTGGCTGTAGGAATGACGCCCTTGACCACAGGGCCAGCGGACTCGCCAGCCGTCGGTTGTTGAACCATTGTAACGATGCTCGGGGATGGTGGAAGAGAATCAGGGGAGAAGAAGGGGAGAAGACAGGTGGTTGGAAAAGTCAATTGAGAGGAGGGGAGGAAGGGAACCTTATATCCTGCCAGCTGCCAGTAGCTGTCCGCTAATGTTACATGCAATGATCAACACTGCACTGCACGAGACTGGACAAGATTGTACTCTGTAAATTGTTGTTATCTCCGATTCATGCATCACATTCATTAGTTACACGGTCACAAAACTGATGTAGCACATCCTAGCTTAGCACTAGAACTAGACTGTAGTAACAGTTACACACTTGCAACAACAAGTCCGACTAGGGTAACAATGAACGTGGGGAGTTGGGCAAGTTTGGGGAAGAAGAAGCGGATCATGCCCGGTGACAGAAAACTGAGGGGGTGCACGTCCTTGTTTTTTCTCTTCTGGTCTCATTTCCCCGCAGGATAGATTATAGAATACGGGGGAACAAGATTGAGTCGAGACTGCGGGTGAGAACGGAGCAGACATGGTCATGGACATGGTTGTTTGTTTCACTGTGAGGAAGATGGTTGTGCGGGGGAAGAAGAAGAGGGTTGATGGCGGATCCGCAGATAAAGATGGCCTGCAAATACAGCGATGATGATATAGACAAGGTTGGCTGAATGGTGTTTATACATACCGCCTAGTAATAATGTCAGAGTCCCAAGTATGACGTTGTGCTTCCCTCCATAACCTATGTCAAATGGTTGCAGATCATGAAATACAATTGGTCAACTCCAAAATCCATTAGCTCATGGGAATAAACGAAAAACCAACATGACAGAAACCAAAAAGAAGAGGTGTGGAAGTGCGGAGAGACCGTCAAAGTAGCTTGTTCCTTCTCGGCAAACCGGCACAGCAAAAATACTCAGAACCACGGCTTGTGGGAGCTCGAAACGACACCAACGTCCACTATTAATTGCCGATCCTCCAACGCTAGACCCCAGAATCTTAGGCTTATCCAGTTTAGGGTTTTAAGGCTCACCTCATGGTTATTGTTAAGCTTATGTACTGAGAAATACGGGGCCCAATACACCCTCACTTTTGTTTTTGCTTCTCAAGCCGAGGTTACAATCTACCTACCAAGGTATGCATAAGCGGGGAGTAAAGTTTCCGTTCATTATTTCAAGATAACATATCATTCATTGACAGCTTCAAATTTGGAGATACCATACACTGCCCAGAAATGCCCAGCAACCACATCTCTTGTCTACCCGCCTTGGCGATGGGAGCTACATTAGCGGCCTTTTCTCCCTGGTTACATTCAACAACAGAGTCGTCGGTTACATTCAACCTGCAAGAGGTCACAAAAACGAACGAATGGAAATAATACCTCGTTGGTCCATGCGTTGACAGTTCAACAACTATTGCTTGCCTGCCCGTGAACTACCCACGGTCTATCTAGGTCTAGCAGTTGATCATCGGCACTTCTGTTCCTTCTTGGTAGTCGATCACTTGGTCGGGATGATATCACTAGTCTATCCTTTGCCCTGTGGCTGACTCGGGGAATACTAGACTTGGCGTTGGGGGGATTTCCAATTGGGGAAATCAGCTTCACTAGCTAGACCCTACATAAATCATATGATGTTGTCAAGATTTATGGTGAGACAGCTTATCAGTATATTCAGCCAAGAATCTTCTAAGAAAAAAAAAAAGAGAAGGAAAACAACAAGAAGAAGAAAAAAAGACATTTCGCCATCCTCAATTGGGGTCCTACGCCCATACTCGACATGCTACGTCGACATGTCCGATCCCAGCAGCCCAGTTGACAAGGGTATACCATCATCGCTTGGGGAATCGCGGGGCTCAACGTCCTATTGAGTCAAAACGTTACACTAAGATACCCTTGACACTTTCTGCAACATGATTGGACTCTTCCCAAGATAGCCGCAAAGGCCTGGTCGTTGCTGTCTCTGGTCGTACGATATCTCCAAAGTTACCGCCACTGTGAGGAGACTTTGGGGTTCGAGATGAGCGAATCCCCTTCAAGTTCAAGCAAGAAAAGCATACATTAGTCCTGAAATGCCTTCTTTACATGGGGTAAGAACTGGGGAGATGGCTAGTGTAAAGTCTCTGCGATGGAGATGACTCTGCTCGCTCTACAGATCTGGACCCGTGTTGTGCACAGACAAACGAGACTTAACATAGTTATGGAAAATGTCGGAAACACAATGTAACGATGCTCAAATACGACTCGAACAGTCCAGACTCATGAGGGGCTGATGATACACTCGCTCTAGAATACCACAAACACGGACATCCTAGACCCTGCACTTTCTCACAGGGACATGGTACTCTACCTACATGCGCTACCTACTTATTATAGGCAAAGGAAGTTATTCAGAATTTTCTTTACGAACTTCTCCACGCGTTTTCCCCTTCTCCAACTCCTCATGCCCGCATCAACAAGGGTCGGAACACTTCTGCTGCAGCATGCTTCATCAACCAGCTCACAACGGAACGGATCCTCAGGTATCGGATCATTTCGGAAGATGGATGCTCCTATGGAATGTTCCATGATACGTCAATTCAATCATAATTCTATAGATGAGTTGTTTTGTGAATCAGAATCCGGGCGGTCTAACTGTTCCGCAAGTCCGACACGATGGCACACTTCATCGTGAAACCCCATACTTTAATCTAGACTTTTCTTCAACAAGGGTCTTTATGTTGTGATACCCTGTTCAACATTCCACAATTGAAGAATCCCCGGATTCCGTTTCTTAGCATCGCCTGTCGTGAGATAAAACTGAAATAAATGGTCGCTTATCTCTGCTGGGTGAGTGAGACATGGTTCGCATGATAGATCGCCCCACGAGCTTTCAAGTCTTTAGGTCAGATACAGCTGACCGATCTACGTTGAGATATTCTTACAAAAACTCAAGTGAATTAAAAGTTTTTATGAATTGAAGCTTTGGGTATAGAACCCATGGTGGAATGTTGATTTTGGATAGCTTCAGGGTAGTCAATATGTGTTTCTATTTCTTTTTCTTCTTTTTTTGTTCTTCTTCTTTTACCAAGTACTTCTTTTCACAATAGTTAAATGAAATGATAGAATGGGTTAGAGTGTATCAGTTCCGACTCATGCTCCGGTTGTTGAATCTAGTGTGCATGTGTTGGTAGATCGTGGGTGTGTTGCACCACAGTTCGAAGGAGCAACATCATGAAAGTCACATGAGTGACAACCGACGAGATTTCTGCTTGGCCAGAGAAATTGGCGTCAATTCGTGGTCAATGGATCGAGGATGGCCGCTGGTGATCCATACCACCAGATGATACAATACATCTATGCGACTAACGCCCCCTTTAAAACAAATGGAGGGTGCATATATGTCGAAACAATTCCATTACAGAGCACAGCGCTACCAATTATCTAGACTAGTTGACTAGCAATCAATTCATGTTCCTCGCTGTTTCTACCAATTGCCTTTCGACAATGCCACTGTGATATTTTCACACTGTTTAATCCTTTGTAGCTCTGTCATTTCGCCAAGAGACTACCATAGTCAGCCTGGTTCTTTTCGAATGGCTTTCTCTCTAAACCATGCGGGTTTGAAGTTGGCTGTTCTCCTCACGAAGTCCCTTGAGCTGCTTCTCGAATTCCTTGTTCGCCCATTCCCAGTATCCAGTCCAGGTGCTGGCGGCACCAGCATTACTAGTAGCAGCACCAGCGTTCCCAGTCGTGGCCTTCATCTTTTCGCCCAATAGCAGTGTCACTCTCAAGATGCTCTTGTTGGCCTCTTCCTGTTTCTCTACGTCTTGCTTCACAGCGTTATCCTTCAGCTTGACTGACAGAACAGTTCGATAAGCCTCTGCAATCGAGTTCAGTCGGCGTGTGGTCTCGTCGGGGTCGATGGCAATCAGCTTGGTCACCATGAGGTTACAAAGCTGACGAATATCATTGTCGTCCTTGAGACCTGCCACAACACGGTCATAAAAGTCGATATTGTTAATGCGACTGAAAGCAGTCTCCATTAGAGCATACAAGGTCTCATATGCGCTCTGTTGAAAGTTAGTTGGGGTTCATAAACGACATCAAATTGAGCGTACCTTTCGAACCTCAAGGCCGTCATCAACGGTATGCTTGAAAGGTCCCATCATGACTTCTCTCACAAGTTCCTTCTTGATCACTGACTCCTGCAACACATATGGCATTAGTTTGCCCAAGTGTGGAAGAATCATATCAGGCTTAGTTCGAGCAGCTGTGGTAAGTGTTGTCATTGCCAATCGACGAATGTCCATATCGGAGTCCTGAAGGATAGTCAGGAGCATCGAAATGAGGACATCTCGGAGCATGGCATCCAATACTTCGTCACTTTCGGGTAGAGTGTACCGAACAGCTTGGACAGCCATTCCTCGAATTCCAAGTGACTTGTCCTCCAAAAGAGCCTAGTACCAGTTAGAGAGTTAACGTACGAGTATTCCTACGTACATACCTGAAGACGAGGAACAAATACAGCAGGGTCGAGAGTGACAAGTCTCCCGACACACTCGGCACAAACGACCTTGTTGTCGGCATTATCTGAGGCTTTGAGAAGCTCATCCCATATAGTCGGGGCATAGTTCCGTAGGTCTGTAGACTGTGCCGAGATTGCTTGGAGGATCTCCTTGATTGATTGGATGAGGAGGTACTGGGTATTGCCGCCCTTTTGCATGGTCTTCAAAATGACGGGCAGAAATTCGGGAACATTGCCAGAACCTGCCTGGCCAAGAGCGACAGCAGCGGAAAGTGACACCTTGTCCGGTTCATCGTGGAATTGATCCAGAAAGAGATCCGGCTTGAGAGTCGAACTAGTTCCGAGTCTCTTTCCAGCTTCGCCCAAAACAGCGAGAGCGAGGCTAACTCTGGCTTCATCGCCACTCTTGGCACTCGTGTACAACTCTGTGACGAAGCTGTCCATCTTGACACCAACTGACTCGCCGCCCGTAACAAGCAAGGTTCCTATCACTTTACCGACGACTGGGGAGTCTCCTGCCACACTGACATCCTTGAGCAATCCTTGCATGAGACCTTGGCCCGCAGCATTCTCTCCAATACTACTGACAAAGAGGAGTAGCTGATCAAGGACAATGCCTGCATAATGCTGCTTAAGGAGGTCCGAGAGCGCAGTGATCATCTCGTTAGTGACCACGAGTTCTGGATGTTCAGGCACCAACTTGGCGAGGATAATCAGTGTTGGTCCAAGTAGATGTGTGTCGCTGTTGGTGATGACCGGCATCAAATCGGCGACAATTCCCTGAATAGTGTCTGGCTCGAGCTGACCTTTGGTAGCGGGTGACAGCGCGAGATTTCGAAGAGCGATGATACTTGAGCCACGTAGGGAACGGTTCGCCTTACGCAATTGTGCAGAGAGCTCCAAAGCAACATCTTGAATCCACTGCTTCTCAAGTTGGCCAGGTGATTTCGCAAATCGGGCTACGTTTTCGACCGCTCGAACTGCAGCCAAGCGAGTGGTCTCGTTCCTGAGTCGTTCTTGGAGTATATCCAGCGCGGCTTTGACCTTGTCCTGAGACAGTAGAGAAGACCCTTCTGAAGTTGAAGTTCTGGAGATCAAAACACCGAGAGCATGGATGGCGCGTTGGCGAACCTCGGCGTCAGCATCTTGGGCAGATGAACGGTCCAGAATGACAGTGTAAAGCTTGTCCAGCTCGGATTTGTACTTGGAAGCAACGTTTCGGGATCGCGGTGGAGTGATGGTCTTGACGAGCTCCTCAACAGTGCGAATCGCTTCGCTTGAGATCTTGTAATATCTGTTATTGGCTGCAGAAGTAACGCCATCAACAATCTTAGTGAGATAAGGCTGCAGAATGGTAGATGAATGAGTCTTGGCGATGTCGCTGATTACGCCCAGTGCTGTGATCCTTAGCGTACTGGGGGTTGCGGAAGATGAACCGGCGTGTGAAGACAGATTGGCCGAAACATGAGTAGAACCACTGGGCTGGATGGCGTCGATTATAGGTCCGATGACTTGATCCAAATACTCGGCCAATCCTCCATGCTGAACAGACACTATGTCATTGAGAAGACTAATGACTGCCTGCTTGGTGGGAATCGTCTTGCCCTTGAGTTGTTTGGTAATCACCTTGATGATGGAAGGAGTCAGGCGAGCCAAGTCAGCTCGTGGGCCACTAAGGGGAATCTTCTCTTGGACAGGTGAAACAAGGCCAGAACCTGACATGAACTGAGAAGCTGTGGCGCCACCACCACTACTTTGACGTCTTCGCTTTCTGCTAATTGGGATACGAGATTCGGATTCTGGCTCGAAATCCTCGAGTGAAGGATCGGGTGTGTGAAGTCCCTCACCTGTCTTACGAACGAGGAGAGAAAGTGCTGAAATAACCTCCAAACGAACGTTCTCTTCTCTCTCTGCGATACGCTTAATGAGAGACGGGGCGGTTTGGTTATAAAGGACACCGTTCTCGAGAAGGTCGCCACTTCCGCGTGTTGAGATAAGGATGTAAATAGTCTTTGCGGCGCATCGTCGAACCTTCCAGCTGGCGTCGTCGTCGTCATCTTCAAAACCATCGTCATCGAATTCGTCATCATCATCTATTTCGTCATCATCCTCTTCATCTTCCATATCCTCATCCTCATCGTCGACATTGTAATTAGGGTCGTACTTGAGGAATCGGAGGCATGCCTCTATTGTTTGGTCTGTGAATGGTCGCATTTCTTGTGGGCACGATGCCAAGAAAGCTTCGAGGGCTACAAGAGCAGCCTCGCGGATTTCGTTGAAGTCTTGGCCAAGGTCATCTCCATCGCTGAGTGCCTCGAGATGCTCCTCAAGCTCTTCTTCGCCGAGCGCCTTGAGCACCAGAGGTGCGGTATCGGCGAGGTGAGGTCCGAATCTAGAAGGGATGGATCTTGCCATACTTCCGAGAATAGAGATGTACAACCTTCTTGTTACAGGGCTGCATTGCTTCGATAGGCCGTTCGTGATACGTCTGACAACTTCCTGCAAATGCTCATCTGAGAGGTATACGGCAAGCATAGAGATCGCTACTACGGCCCTCTTCTTGACGACCGATGTTCCCTTCTCGCTTTCCAAAAGTTGGATGACTACCTCTTGCATGGCCTCAACTTCGACCTGTACAAGCATAGGTCCAAAACATCGAACAACCTCGATTAGCACATCGACTGCTTCAGCGTTGAGGTCGCCCTCATTTTGTAGAAGTCCCTCGGGGACAGCGGGAAGGGGGATCTTGGGGTTCTTGGGAACCTGTGTTTTGGGTCCGGGGCCAATAAGACGGGGAATCAGTACGCGGCTGATAGCACTGTAGGCTTCTCGGACGTCTGCGGCCGGAGGGATGCCTGGCACGGGGCGAGGGAGAGCGATAATAACGTTTCGCAAAGCCATCGAAGGCACAGCATTATCCACCGAGTTCTTAAGCTTCAGTGATGAGAGCTTCTCTATCATGGGCGCAATAACGGGGGTAGGGACTTTGCCCACAAAGGGACCCAAACTGGTTATGTTAGCGAATTACTCAGAAACTCCTACATCCACATACCACTTAACAGCAAGGTTCTGGACTTCTCCATTCTGATCATCGAGCGTCTTGATGATACTATCAACAGTCCGAGCCGCAATGTTGTAGTCATTCTGAAGGAAATCGGGCTTGGCATGGTTTAGGAGCTGCAACAGGTCGTTCAAGGCCATGAATCGGAAATCAGGATCGTTGTCGCTGAGCTTCTGGACATGTCCCATCACCGCCTGCGGCGTGGCATGAATTTGAGCGGATGCCATGATGGGCAGGATTCACGATGGTGTGAGAGTGGGAGAGCTGCAATACAGCTTTAGATCATAAGCGCGGGGTAACGATTTGCTGGGGATCTGCGAGAGCAATGACTGCAGAGCTATGAAATGCAATTGATATGCAAGAATAAGAAAGCTTTCGCCTCAACACGAATGCTACTGACGATGAATTTGTACAATACTGAAGGATCAGGCTTCACCTCTAGGCAGGCGGAAGAAGGTCGGAGCTGCCCAGGTCGCGATGCCCCGCTATGACATGCAAGCTACCCCGGCAGGAAGCATCATTGCCGTACTTATTGCCGGTCTATCATTATTCCGTCCCGGCCAAGCGATATAGGGTAGTCCACCTTGAACTTGATGTATTTGTTTCCAGTATTTTGACGAAATCAATATTTGGGGTTCTCGCATGTAGTACATACCCGAGAATGCATTAATCGTAGCTCACGTCGCTAATAACCATTCACCACAAACTCTTTCACGCAAAGACAGACCATCTTGGGCCGCACAGCAACGCGCAAACAGTGACATGATTTGGCCCATTGTTCACTGTGCCGATTACAGGCTATTGGTTCATTAAGCTGATTCTCTGTTCATTTGTTGATTGTGATTCAAGTAACAGATGTTCGAATCTATTCAGAAATCAACAGGCAAGTATTAACATATGCCCAAGCCTGAGTGACACAATGCCAGTTGTATAAAGATTCTGAAATCATCATGACCAGTCCAAGAGAACTACTCGATATCAGCCATTAACTTCTATTACCACCAAGTATCCGCACACACATTGAAAATGAAGTTCATTTGGGTATTTACCACTCTTTTCGCTTTCGTTACTGCTGACTCAAACAATCCAAGCAACGCAGTCAGGGACTTCACGGTCGATTACAACTGGGGATGTGGTAAGGTATATCATCTCAAACACTGTCTACGTGATGCTGACCCTGCTAGGTGCTGAACTCTACACTTGACCTCGACAGCTGTGCATACCTGCTGAACTAGCTCGGAACCGCTTCCAAGACTGGCTGGTGGACGATAGGAACAGCCAACGTGATGAGTTGGTCATCTGGCTTTTGTCAAGTGACTATCAAATCTGGACCTCTTTCTCACTTTGTCCTCAACATGAATGGTGAAGAGTTTGATCAAGTCACTCAGTGGGTGCACAAGGAAAGGTGCAAGCTTAGAGGGCAACGCACCATGATCGCGGCGAAGAATTCTAGTTAGACAGCCTACATTGTCGAACCTGGTTGGGACCACAAGAGCAGCGTTTTTTTTTTAGGTAGCGATGTGAAATTTACAGCTTGGATACAAGCTGAATGAGGTGACAACATCAATGATGGCTGCACGTTGAGCTAAGGGTGTTATAAAACTTAGCTACGGAAATGACAAGAAATAAAACTAGTCAGAATTGATTGACGTTTAGCCCAATGAGCAGACATTACAAACACTCGTTATTTATGGTGCCTGGAGGGCGCTTATCCTCGGATCTTGAGTCCTACTACAGAAGATAAAACAGAATGGCATTAGGTTGTTGAGGCCGGTCGAGATGAAATCACAAGGGAGGCCAGAGCATATGAGGCTTCTTATTGCAGAGCTTGTGCAGAATGCAATGAAGTACAAGAATGTGCTCGAAGGATCTGCTGAAGCAAAGCGAAGACAAGCTAACTTTAGACCCAGCGAATTGGAGTAATCAGACACTGGTCCATCCCCAAACGTGAAATTGACCTCTGATTTGGACGTGGTTGTTATAACGAATACTCTGTTTTTTCTTTCCTTCTTTCTTTTTTCTTGCAAGCTATTCAAGTTCAGAGTCTTCCAACAGCCCAGAAAGAAGATATCCAACTGTAGATTTGTCTATGCTCAATTGCTCACCCATGATGAAGGTTGGCTCGCGCAACTTACTGAATACCCATCTCTTGTAAAGCCGCCATAAGGGTCGAATACCCAGCCTCAAAATACTGATCCTCTTGCGGGTTATAGTAGACATTATCGTGGACATGACGAATGACCTCTTCCTCATCCATATCACTCTGGTCGTCGTCGTCGTCGTCGTCGTAGTCAAACCCGTTATTCGAGTCGTCCTCCCACTCGTCCTCTCCAACAACCTTCCAGACTGTTTTGTCTTCATCAGAGAGATACTCGCGTTGGAACATGTAGTGATCCAAATCAATCCTGGCCAGGTTAGGCACCAGAGATGAATTGCCGCCCCACCACGAATTGAGTCCTGATAAGAGGCTTTCACTTTGTAATGTCCTAGACCTAGACCGCGGGTCATACTCGCGCACCTTGAGGTGGGTAAGTCTGTCGTGTGTGACGCCGGTGTCGAGTACATTGAACGGCAGTTTATGGCCTTCCAATTCCAAGACCTTAGGGCAGCCAACTGCATGCAAGAAGGCTCTCAAAGTGAGCGAGCCGTTCTCGTAGCGGTGCTGATGATGAACGAATCTGATGTTGAGAAGCTCAAGGTTGGGAAATGCCTCGAACCTTTCTTTATTCTTATCAAGGTCGTCGACATCCAAAATTGTGGTTGACGACAGTTCAAATCCAGGCGGGAACGAGCTCATGCTGCCCGGTTTCTCGGATCCAGGTACACATAGAATATGGAGTTCCTTCACAGGCCGGTCTTTCTTGAATTCACCCCTGGCCAGCATCTCGATGAACTCGACGTCCAGGTCGACATCGTTGAGAACGAGAGTATGCAGGTCATCCCACATATTGACGTGAGGAGTGAAGAACTGTGCTTGTTTGGCCTCGACGAATGCCGACTTTTCCGTATTTAGGTGTTGAAGCTTGGGCATTAGGGGAATGCCACTTTTGACTGCCTCATCCATGATGTGGTCTAAGATAAAGGCCTTGGGGTTGGTATTCATATCACGCCACATGAATGTAGTGACGTTTGGTGTAAGGAAGAGGATAGCAGCAAACATGATCTCCAGTATACCATCATGCTTGAAATCGGGAGAAAACATGAAGCGTTGCTTTGTTCTCTCAAGCATACAAGCCGACCAAGCGAGGTTGTGGAGACCAGCGCCGTCGAGGAGACGCATCAAGGCAGGTTTGTCAGAAGGACACCGCTTAGACCAGAGTTTCTTACACTTGGGCAGCTCCCTCTTTCTAACACCGGGACCTGACAAGGGACTGAAAGACGCAATGTACTGAGCATGCTGGCGAAGCTCAGGTCTTTGGATCAGGGTGATAAAAGTGCTCATGACACCCTGAGGTGTGGTGAAAATGAAGTGCCGGTAAAGAAGAGGCTCCAAGACACCTTTGGTAGCTTTGGAGAGGTAGGTCAGGCGGTAAAGAGTGGTGCGGTCTGGAAGGTATTCTGGATCGCCATCATGCTTCGCATAGAGCCTGGCTTGCTCGAAAGGGTCTCCAACTACAGCAAGACCGATATTGTAGATGATATCAAGGGATAGTTGTGGTACTGTTGATGGCTTTGGCGCGGGGTCTATTGGAGGTTGTGTTGCAGGGGCTGAAGACGCCATGATGAAGGGTGAGACGTAGATAAAAATATATGGCGATCTAGATACCTGGCACCCTGTAGATATTTGTGAACGAATACAGTTTTAGGGAAAGTAACCTGTAGTTAGTTGAAAAGTAAACCTCAGACACAGTATTGATAGTGGAAAGGAAATATCATGGACCCCCACCATGAAACATTTTAGTACCTGCCGGTGTTCTATAACACCAGGTCATCTCGAGATCAGCCACACAGCTTTAATTTGAGGGCCTTATAATGGAACTACTTATGCACTTTTACTCAAGTCAACAGCATTCCCGGTAAATAGTCAAGCTCACTAACATATCAACTGCCGGCGTCTCCGCTCATCTTCAGTTGCCTTCCTTTAATTCCTTGTACATGTAGTACAGTGAGTGAGAGTCGGCCCCACACCCCGCATCCCGTTCCGCTCCAGTGGAAACGAGTCCCTCACGACGTCAACAAACAAAGTCAAGACAACCTCATTCTCTTTCATCCTCCTCAAAATGGTACGCCTATATGAAACCCTCTCTAATGGATATACCACTAACTGATACTCCTCAGAATAAAGACTCCTCCTTCACATTTGTCCACATGCACCGCGCCCGTGACGCAGACCTCTTCGAGGACTTTTGCAAGGACAGACTCCCCGATGACGAGATATACGTTCCTCCCATGCATCAGCCTATTAACCCTGAGGACGAAGACGACGTTGTTCCCGATCAGCACGCCGCCTTTGGTATTCAGCGAGCAACGCAAAAGTCCAAGGAGCCTGCGTGGAAGGATCTGGGTCTCTCGGAGCTCATGAATAAGGGGCCCAGTATTGGAACAGGTGGGAAGCCAAAGGGTGCTAGAAGCGCTCTGCCGCGATAGAAAGATTTACAGCTTACGGTCACTATGTTTTGGGCAAGGCGTTGAGGGATAGCATATCTTCATACAAAGATAACACAACTCGAACCGAGATAGTTCAGTATTAAATTCAATGGCCAGATATCACATCGCCACACAAATACGGCTAACGTCCCTCTACCAATCAATCCCATACCAGTCGTAAATAACTCCATTAACTCCATTCTCACTTCTTAATTCTTGCCCAGGAAGCCTTCCCTCTCCAAAACCTCTGGTCTAAACTTGACAAGAAAGACTGTCTTTCCAGGCCACATGTCGCCCTCTCCGACTGTATGCGCCGTGACCCTGGCAGGGAAATCAGCTCCGTCACAAACACCCTCCACAACGCCCGCTACAAACGCTGCGCAGTTCAACTGGCTCATTTCCTTGGGCACACTGATGTATTGGTTCACGAGGGGCTCGTTATCGATGATGTGGTATTCGTCGGGCGTTTCGGGGTTGGCAGACTTCTCGAGACGGTCCGCTTGTCGACCAAAGAGGTGCTGCCAAATGTTCTGCTTGATAAAGTGTAGCAGTTGAATAATGCCTAGAGGGCGGGTTTGCGTGCGCGCTGGTTCGCGGAAGAGGAGGAGGTCCAGAAGTTTGAGGCCGATAGAATGACCTTGTAGGTTAAGACTGTAGACTTATTAGCTTCGAATTTGGGAACAGAGGAATCCAGCGTACCGTTGTTCCAGCTCCTGGATGCCCTTGACCCGTTTCTGCGCATACGTCACCATCTCGCCAAACAGATACGCAAAACTGGCCTGGCTCAGCTCAGCCGCCTTGGTTCTGTTTAATGGTCTGTGGTAGATGGTCTTTCCATTGCTGGGGTATCGTAGGCCGTCCTTGCCGCTGGGTGATGGGGTGGACGCTGGGCCGGCGTTGGGGGGTTGAAGGTTGCTCATGGTGGGCTTCGTCGCTGTCGCTGGTTCATACTGCAGCTACTGAAGCTACTCTAGATTCCGGGTTGTCTCTTGCAAGCGCTCAATGTGGAAAAGTCCTAGTGTAGTCTTGTCGCGAGGTTGATTGTCGCACGTGTAAACGTGGGCTTGTCTGGCCGGTGAGATAAGTACAGTAGCACGTACATGTGGAGACTTGACCGAACCACACCGAAGCTCACCTTGACAATACATCCACCTACACATTCCAGTCAAGATGACCTATTATTATCATCAACATTGAGAATTACAACAATTTAATGAAACAAAACATGACCTCAATTAGTCTTAACACTACCGATTCTCTAGGAACCTTGGTCAATCTACAAGAAGTGTAACCCTTAAGTCCATGTGACGACTCCAGAAACCAACTCTCCTTTGTCTTCCCTTTAGCCTCTACTGAACTGTTGCGACCTTGGACTTGAGTTCTTTCTGTTTCACGGTAGCTTCAATCCAGCTCTTGGCATCTTCCAACGCCTTCTTTGGGCTCTTCTTTCGCTTCAATAAGAATCCTTGGATCTCAGCCGGCGAGAGCATATCTTCTGGAATGAGGTTCCCGAATTCTTTCGAGGTTTCCTGGAGGTCATCGTCAACATCTGTCGCCGGTCCCTTGGTATCGACAACACCGTGAAGGCTTCCATTCTGAGCCTTCGGCGCCGCTGCTCCAGTCTTGGATATGGGCATGGGCTTGTTTCGTGATACTTCGTACATGCGATAAAAAAGTTCTGTAGCCTGTTCGCTAGTCGCGTTTTTGAAACCAACTTGTACATCGACACGTCCTGGTCGAATAAGAGCATCGTCAAGTGACTCGGGCTTGTTGGTTGTCATGATGAGAATACGACCCTCATGCGAAGCGACACCATCAATTGCGTTCAAGAGTCCAGAGAGTGAAATACTTTCCACGGCCAAGATGTTATTAGTGCCCTTGTTTCCAGTACTGTCCCTGTCTCGTCTGTGTCGTCTCTTGCGTCGGCGACGTTTTCGTTCCTCCTCAGAACTACTTTCTGTGTCGCTGCCAATTTCGACCTCTCTTTTAGCTTTGGCCTTCTTCTTCTTCTTCTTGATCGGCTTGTCTGTTTTCTTGTTCTCGTCGTCCTTGCCGCCAGTGTCTTCAGATGTCTCTTCGCCTTCCTCTTCGTCGTTGGGACGACGCAAGCCAGCCGTATCAATGTCTTCGAGGAGAACAATACAGCGTCGAGGGAGTCTTGTAAACAACACAGCCAAGTCCTCCTCACTAATGGTAGGATCCTGGAGACTGATGACGTAGATATCGATTCCGAAAACTCCAGCCAATGCAAAAGAGAAACTGGTCTTGCCGGTGCCAGGAGGACCATGGAAGAGATACCCGCGACGAAGGGGAATACCACGAGAAGCATACCACTTGGGTGTGGCTGGGTGAAGATACTCGTTGATGTCTCTGAGCACTTCATGCTTTTCATGATTCTCCAGAATGACGGTGCTCATTGGTCTGATGGGTCGTCTGGCAACCTGTTGCCACATACTCCATGAATCACGACGGTTCTCTTTAATTCTTGGGCGGAAGATGGCCGTCTTGTATCGAGTGTCAAGAAAATAAGTGGTTTTAGCGTCCTTCAAGAGACTCTTGATGGGGTCTTGAAACATGTTAGATGGGTCACGTTGGCGGACTGGCTATCAAACTCACCAGTCGATCGTCCGAAGCAGGAAATCTTAAGCTCTTCGACGTCCTTGGCAGCTCCTCCCCATCCATGAGTGTTCTGCAAAGTCTCCTTTCTACGGTAAACTTTGAAAAATTTACGGTTGTGCCAAAATCCGGTGGTACCCATGGCTGGGACATATCGTGGATTCTATATTTGTCAGTGTTGTTGAATGGAAATGCTCGATAGACTTACACATCTGGCGGCATCACTGGCAAAGTTCAGATACTTGGGTGAATGTTGGTTGTCTTCGACCATTGTCGTTGCCAATACGTCAGCCGAATCCTCTTCTTCATCCCAAGCACTTTTGTAGACAGTCTGGGCAGCTAGATGCCGATTGGTAGCGATATCTTGTTGCTCGGAAAGAAACTGCATGAGTGTGTTATATATCTGGTCATCTTCGGTAACGCATACTGTGCATCTCAGGTAGCCACTGATGAAGTTATCTCCGATGGCCCAGACCTGACAAAACAGTTTGTATATGCCCCAGAGGCAGCCAAGGTAGGTCAGGAGCACGGAAGGGTCCAGACCCAGCTGCGCACCAACCAACCGATAGATGAAAAGGAAGAGTTGGAGAAGTGGCGATGCTTGGCCCGCAGTATTAAGAACGCTGTCCAAGATGTTAGGGAGAGTAGTTGACGAGTTGGTTGGCTGCGACGTGTCGTTCAAAGACTTAAACCAGGGCGCAGCCATCTTACCAACGTTTGAAAGGTCCATCTGTGGTAAACAATTTGGTTTCTGAGACGTTTGATGGTGTAGAGTGCTGTGTAGATGGCAATGATGGTTATTGGACAACTCTGAAAACACTCTGCTGCGATGACTTGGATGCAAGACGCAAAACTGTGTTGGCAAGGTCACACCAAGCCTTCGGGACTCCTTCTTATAGGTGCCCGAGAGGATGGCCAGAGCCTCAGCCTATGGTTAGTAATGGGATGGTTCTACTGCATGCAAAGCATGCGCGATCAGGAAACAAGGTGAGATTGAGAAATTTCCAGGCAGAATAGATACGACTGGGTCTTAGGGCTGAGGCTGTTTTCAAAGAACGCCTTGTCTTCCACTTATGGTCATGGCAAGCATTTCTATTCGGAAACCTGCATTTATAACAGTCAAAAACCTTTGTCTTGTGTGAGAATAAGGTCGCTCTTTGAACCCTACCTTACGTGACTCAAAGCTGCAAGGTGAAGGGTAAAAGTCACTGTTAAACTTTGGAAACCGAAAATCACCAGGTAACAGTCAGACACTTCCTCTTCATAAGGGGGTGTAATGTTGGAAATAGTTGGTTCATGTTGGTAGTGTTGCCACACGCGCGCTTGTCTTGCCCACACACACACGTAGTATGCGCGCACACATACGCACAAAGGACACGCACCTTGTATCTGCCTGCACTAGCATGACTGTTCTTTCCCAAGTGCGCATCTTGTTTTCGTAAACATGCATATGCATCAATGATCCCCTAGGAAGACTGATAGTGTTTGTGCTACAGTTGACCTATTATCGCTTTGTTTGACTCACACTTGGCTGATGCTGTGGAAAATGTGGATATAAGTAAATAGGATGTAAGATGCAAAAGTGTGGGCCAGCAGCTTTCCTGTTCCGACGGTTTGCTGTGCTGCTCACTATCTCTGCCCAAGTGTGTTGTGCGAAGTAGTGTCTGAATGGTTGCAGTTGGAGGTTAACAGGCAGAAGGCAGCAACACAGCTAGCAGACAAATAAAATAGAGGCTGACTCTCTGATTCACTGTCAGTCAGTGTTTACTCAAAAAGGGTAAACAAGTCGTCCAGTGCAATCATTTTCATACCGAATACGATAACTGACATCCATTCAGCCTTGCCGTTATGCATCCTGATACATACATACATACTGCAGGTCCAGATAACAAAGGCGGGGTTGGTTGAAATATAACGACGAGCTTGGTCAACTGACTTGTGTGCATGTTTGTCAATTCACTGAACACCGTTTTCAAGTGGTAGAGTGCATGTCAGACAATATCGGAGAATTCTTTGGAGATTGATTGGTGATAGCTATCTTGAGTACTATCACGTAAGGAACGTATAAGCTCGCCAGGTCTTGCTTTGAGAAAGCAAAATGTAATGAGAAGAGTCATTAATGACCAGAAGTGGAATCGTTGGCCTCAGATATTAAGTTATCCCTAACATCAGGACTGTACATGGAAATGGCTCGCAATGCTTCCCCACTATGTACTTTTGGAAATTTGTATCAAGCAATTCTCAGATGATGCAATTGACCAGAGTGGGCAATACGCATGACGGACAGGCACCGACGTTGCATCTAAAATTGAGGCTCAACTTCCAGTCTACCATACGCACTGCGCATTCCACCACGAGACGCAACTTTACAATGTCCCTCGTTA